AGTTCAGCTGAGTCGCCGCCCCTGCAGGTGCAGCAGCCGCAGCAGCCGCCGCAGTCGCAGCCTTCGCAGCAGCCGCAGAAGCCGTCGCAGACGCGGCAGACGAGTGTCCTCCCGCCAGGGTGGCCCGGTGCTGGCGGTGGCCGGGCGCGTGGTGGTGTGCCGCGTGGTGGCTCTGGCGGCGGGCGTTGTCAGTACCAGATCCAGACCGGTCCTCGCGGCGGCTTCGTTTGCGGTAAGATCGGTCACTCCACTCCCCGCTGTTTTCGTCGCCTGGACGACCTCTTTCGTCAGCGCTTCGGCCCGTCGCCGGACCTCCCGGACTGGCACAGTTTGCTTAGTCGTCAGATTCAGATTTTTGATATGGACATGGATGCCATTGTTTCCGCTGTGCATGTGATGTATGCTGATGACTCTAGTGTGCTTCCCGCTTATTACTCACTGTTGCCAAGTGTAGGTGTGCCTAGCTTAGCCTCCCCTGCTGCGTCAGGCATAGGATCCCCTGCTTTGTGTAGTCTTGGTGCTTCCGCCGTCGTTCCGTCGCCAGACCCCTCGGCTTCGCTGTCCTTCACCTTGGACTCTGGCGCCTCTCGGTGTTTCTTCCGCGACTCCACCACCCTGACGCCGCTTCCTGTTCCTGCTGCCGTTTCTCTTGCTGACCCCTCCGGCGGTCCGGTAGTCGCCCGCAGTTCCACCACCCTTCCCTGTCCGGCGGTTCCTTCGGGTTCTCTTACAGGTCTGCATATCCCCTCGTTCTCCAGGAACCTAGTTGGTGTCGGCTGCCTCCAGGACCTTGGCGTCACCACTACGTTCCCTGGCCACGAGCGGTATGCTGTCTGTACCGAGGCCGCCACTGGTGCCCCCCTGTCCACGTTCCCCCGGGACCCGGTGTCCGGCCTGTTCACTCTGGACACCGCGACCCCCCCGGCTGGAGCGCCCCCTCAGGTGGCTGCGTCTACCCAGGTTGCTGCTGCCTGCTCCTGTCGCTCCCTCACTCACCCGACCCTCCTGTGGCACCACCGCCTAGGTCACCCTGCGCTCCCGCGTCTGCGTCACATGTCCCAGCACAGTCTCGTCCTTGGTCTCCCAGGTTCGCTCCCCGCGTTTCCCTCCTCTCCAGCCCCACCTTGCACGCCTTTTGTCGAGGGTCGGCTTCGCCGTCCCCCTCACTCCTCCTCGTTTCCCCCTACCGCCGCGCCGCTGCAGACTTTGCACCTGGACGTCTGGGGCCCCGCCCCCGTCCCTGGGCCGCGTCGAGAGCGCTACTTCCTTGTGCTCGTCGACGACTTCACTCGTTACACCACAGTCTTTCCACTGGAGCGCAAGGCCGACGTGCCTGGCGCTCTCATCCCCTGGCTTGTCTCTGCGCGTGTCCACCGCGGTCTCCCTGTCTTGCGTCTTCACTCAGACCGTGGTGGCGAGTTTGCCTCCGGTGTCCTTGGTCGCTTTTGTCGTGCGGAGGGCATCACCCAGACGTTCACCCTACCGGACTCCCCACAGCAGAATGGGGTCGCTGAGCGACGCATCGGTTTGGTCATGGAGGTCGCTCGCACCTCCATGATCCATGCCGGTGCACCCCATTTTCTGTGGCCGTTCACGGTGCGCTACGCTTCTCACCAGCTTAACCTGTGGCCGCACCCTCAGCAGCCGCAGGTTTCGCCGACCCGTCTTTGGACTGGGTCCCCTGGTGACGCGTCTGCGTTCCACGTCTGGGGCTGCCTTGCTCACGTCCGTGCCTCCGGCACGGACAAGCTCACTGCTCGCACCCTTCCCTGCGTCTTCCTCGGTTTTCCCCTTGACGCGTCCGACTGGCACTTTTACCACCCGCCGTCTCACCGCTTCTTTCACTCTCGTGACGTCACCTTTGACGAGTCCGTCTCCTACTACCGCCGCTTTCCCCACCGTGGTCCCCCGGTTACCCCCCCCCTGTTCCTGGTCACCCCTTCCCCGGTCGTCCCTGCCCCTCCTCCTCCTCCTCCTCGTCCCGCCCCCTCTGGTGTGTCCCACGTCACCCCCCTTCCGTCCGTGGACCCGGTTGAGGAGTCTTCTGACTCTGGTGGCCCTCCTGTGCAGTCCTCGCCGGCCGCCCCTCCCGAGGTGTCCCCTCCCCAGTCCCCTCCTTCACCGCCACTACCGCTGCTGCAGCCGTCGTCGTCGCCGTCGCCGCCGCCGCCGCCGTCGCCTCCGCCGCCGCCGCCGCCGCCGTCGCAGCCCCCGTTCGCTGACTCTGGGGGTGCTCGTCCCGGTCGCCCTGGGGGTGGTCCCTCTGGGGGTGCTGGTGTGGAGAGTGCCGGTGGTAGCCGAGGAGCAGCTTGCGGTCCAGGTGTCGCCGTTGTGCCGCCGCAGCAGCGGTCCCCGCCGGTGTCCGCCCTTCGCCTGCTCGGCCTTCCGTCCCCCGACCCTGCGTCGGTTCCTCCCCGACCGTCTCCTCCTCTTCCTGTCTACGGCCCTGTTTTTCCTCCGCCGGACTCGTCCCCGGCTCGTCTCCCCCCTCGTTCCCCTCCTGTGTCCCCTCCCCTGTCTCCTGACCCGACTCCTCCGTCGCACGTCTGGTCTCACCGCCCCTCCCGTGCTCATCATGCCTCGCCTGTCTTGCGCTCCCACCCTATGTTGCTTCGTTCCCACGCGTCTCGTCCTCCCCTTCTCCCGTCGCCTCCTCCGTCCTCCCTTGTTGTTGCGCCCCCCCCGCTGTCCGACTACCTTCGTGCCGCTCGTCCTCTCGTTCCTCGGGTCCTTGCCTCTCTCGTTACCGATCCGTCTGTTCCGGTCTCGTGCCTTGACGCTCTTGTCGCTGCTGTCGCTGACTTCGCCTCTACCCGCCGCCTTGACTACGCCACCGCTCTGGTCTCTGACCCTGCCTGTCCTCCGTCTGTCGGGGGTGCTCCTGCCCTTGGCAGTGACGTCCTGGAGGACCGCCAGTTTGAGCTTGCTTTCCTGTCCGAGGCTGCTCCCCATCTCTGTTCCATGCTGCTAGTCCCTGAGGGTGACCCAGACGCTTTCGACATCCCGACCCCTCGCACTTACGCTGAGGCGACTTCGGGACCCTGGGCCTCGCAGTGGATAGCTGCCATGGAGCAGGAGATGGCATCTTGGAGATCCACCGGCACCTTCGTCGACGCAGTTCCCCCACCTGGGGTGAACGTAGTCGATGGCCGCTGGCTCTTCAAGGTGAAGCGCCCTCCTGGAGAGCCGCCTGTCTTCAAGGCGCGCTATGTGGCTAGAGGCTTCAGTCAGCGCGAGGGGATGGACTTCTTCCAGACTTTCGCTCCGACCCCGAAGATGACTACTCTTCGGGTTCTGTTACTCCTAGCTGCTCAGCGTGACTACGAGCTTCACTCCCTCGACTTCTCCACTGCCTTCCTTCAGGGCAGCCTACACGAGCAGGTCTACCTGCGTCGCCCTCCGGGCTTTACTGGCACCTTCCCTCCTGGGACCCAGTGGCTCCTGCGGCGCCCCGTCTACGGCCTGCGCCAGGCTCCCCGTGAGTGGCACGACACTCTCCGTGCTACCCTTGCTGACCTGCAGTTCTTTCCGTCTTCCGCAGACCCTTCACTCTTCGTTCGTGCTGGCCAGACTCCGTTCTACATCCTTGTTTACGTCGACGACCTGGTCTTTGCCACGGCAGACAGGGACGCACTGGCCTCCGTGAAGGCAGAGCTGCTGAAGAGACACACGTGCACTGACCTTGGAGAACTGCGCTGTTACCTTGGCTTGCAGATCTCCAGGGACAGAGCTGCGCGCACCATCACCCTGACTCAGTCACACTTGGTGCGCCAGGTCCTTCAGAGTTTCAGCCTTCAGTTCTCCTCTGCACAGCCCACCCCTCTGCCTGTAGACCACAGACTCTCCGCTCCAGTACCTGAGGAGTTGGTAGAGCCCAGCGGCCCCTACGCAGAGCTGGTGGGTTGCCTCATGTACCTGATGACTTGCACTCGCCCAGATCTCGCATACCCTCTCAGCATCCTGGCGCGCTTTGTGGCCACAGGCAGACACCGACCGCAGCACTGGTCTGCCGCTAAGAGGGTTCTGCGTTATCTTGCTAGTACATCGGGCATGGGGTTAGTGCTTGGAGGACGCAGGCCAGTGGTCCTTACTGGACACACAGACGCTTCGTGGGCAGACGACGCTGAGACACTCAGGTCTACCCAGGGCTACTGCTTCAGCCTTGGCTCAGGTGCCGTCTCGTGGAGAGCTACTCGCTCCTCGTCTGTTGCACAGTCCAGCTGTGAGGCTGAGATCTACGCTGGTGCCATGGCGGCACAGGAGCTCCGCTGGCTGACCTTCTTGCTCACTGACTTAGGTGAGCGGCCTAGCTCTGCCCCGGTCCTGTTCGCTGACAACAGGGCCATGATCCTCCTGTGTCAGGAGCCTCGACTCGAGGGCAGAGCGAAGCACATTCAGCTGCGGTACTTCCTGCTGCGTGAGCTACAGCAGCAACGTCAGGCTCGCGTAGTACACTTGGCCTCAGGTGCCAACACAGCTGATATCTTTACGAAGGCGCTTGCGCCTAAAGATCATCAGCGGCACTGTGTACAGCTTGGTCTAGTTCCTGTTGCTTCTCACTTGCTAGGACCTTGACTTGTACTGTCCTTTATATGTATACTCAGACTGGACTTGTGTCCTCTCCCAGTGGCTGGACTAGTAGTGCCGCCCTGGCCTTGTTCTTGCCTTGTCTGTACTCCTTCTGAGTGGTCTCTCAGACCCTTGTCTCAGAGGTTGGACTAGTAGTGCCGCCCTGAGCTGCTTGTTTAGGGTATTCCCCTATGCAGTCTAGGGGGTGTGTCAAACATCTGTATTTGTCATGTTTGTATAGACTGTATAGGGTTACCGCTTAGAAGGTACAACACTTAGGTATTTTGTGTGTACTCTCGCTTTACCATTATTCAATTACAATTCTGATAGGAATGAGTTTGTTTCTCACCCTTTTAAAAACTAGATTTTTAAGTGCACTCCCCATTTGCTATTCTAGCCTGTGGTTTTAAAATGCAGCACTTCTCTGATGTAGGTATAACGAAGGCCACATATTGGAATCACACGACATATTCTGAGTTTCTCCCACCATCAAAACGTTTGATTCAATAAACAAGCAAATAGAAACACACGGACAATACAAAACAAAAAAGACACCTACTCAAGGAAGTAACCAGAGAGGAAACCAAAAACCGCAGCCCCTATCGACCCCCAGATGAGAAGCCCCTTTTGAGCAGACGTCAGGGAGTTACCTCCCAGCCCATACGCCTGGTTCTGGGCAAACCCTGCGAGCTCCCGGCTCAGGCTGCCAAATGAGGTAGGGGCTGCTCCGCACGTGGGGCACAGCCAGTCTTCAGGGAGCTCCTTCAGAGACACGCCTGGGTGGTGGGAGAAGAGAGCACGAGGACACACGCGTTTAGGGCTGTAAGTATACGGCTGTCAGAAGCCCCTTTTGGGCTGATGTGAGGGAGTTGCCTCCCAGCCCGTACGCCTGGTTCTGGGCAAATTCCGCTAGCTCTCTGCTCAGGCTGCCAAATGAGGTGGGGGCCACCCCACAGGTGGGGCACAGCCAGTCTTCAGGAGCTCCTTCAGCGACGCGTCTGGGGGGAGCGGGGAAGGGAGCAAGAGGATACACGCGCTTAGGGCTGCAAGTACACGGCTGTCCGAAGCCCCGTTTGAGCAGACGTCAGGGAATTGCCTCCCAGCCCATACGCCTGGTTCTGGGCAAACCCTGCGAGCTCCCGGCTCAGGCTGCCAAATGAGGTGGGGGCGCCCTACAGGTGGAGCATGGCCTGTCGTGAGAGAGCTCCTTCAGAGACACACCTGGGGGGAGGGGACAAGGGAGCAGGAGGCAGTGTGGTGTGTGTTTAACACCCATTTGCCAACCCTGCCAGCTCCCGGCGCAGGCTGCAGAATGAGAAGGGGTAGATCCACATGTGGGGCACAGCCAGTCAGCCAGCTGTCAGGAAGCTCCTTGAGAGACGCAGCTGGGGGAGACGGAAGAGGGGTTGGGGAAGAGGATCAGGTGGGTTGGGGAAGAGGATCAGGTGGGTTGGGGAAGAGGATCAGGTGGGTTGGGGAAGAGGATCAGGTGGGTTGGGGAAGAGGATCAGGTGGGTTGGGGAAGAGGATCAGGTGGGTTGGGGAAGAGGATCAGGTGGGTTGGGGAAGAGGATCAGGTGGGTTGAGGAAGAGGATCAGGTGTACAGCGAGGGAACGAGGGAAGACGGGAGCGGAAATGACGGTGCTTGCTTTGAGCATGGGGGCATCTTTATGGAAGCTTGCGAATTGCAAGGGGTACACACACGGACATGAAACAATCACCAAGGGCGATGGGGTAGGCTAGATGGCTGAGCAAGTGAGCAGCTGTATGGAAGCTTGCGGTGCTTGCGAATTGAAAGGGGTACACGGACGGATAAAATATGACACTCAACCGGGGCGAAGGGCTAGGCAAGATGACTTCTGACTCTACTCACAAGTTACCTTGAAACATGGGAGCACTAAGTTGAGGACCAGTGAGGAAGCACAAGAGTGCACGGCCACAGCGACACACATGCGATCAACACTCACCAGGCGCAACGGGGTAGGAAGGGTAGCATTCGAATTGGTCGTACACAACATATAGCCAAGTCACACGACCTGCACTCATACTTGGACTAGTATAGATACACTACAGTAGGCTGGAATGGGTGTAGGAGTGTGCAGCACTAACCAGGGGCGATGGCCGCCCTTGTATTGGTTGTACACAACACATAGCCAAGCCACACGACCTGCACTCCCACTTGGACTAGTATAGATACACTACAGTAGGCTGGAATGGGTATAGGAGTGTGCAGCACTAACCAGGGGCGACGGGGTAGGCTGGATCGCCTTTGAATTGATCGTACACGTAGCCACACGACTTGCACTCCCACTTGCCCGTGTTCACAACTGCGAACTTCTCCTCTGGAGGAAGATGTAGACAGAACGAAGACGGGGTAAAGGAAAGGCGGAGGGGAGGGGAGGGGAGGGGAGGGGAGGGGAGAGGAGGGGAGGGGAGGGGAGGGGAGGGGAGAGGAGGGGAGGGGAGGGAGGGGAGGGGAGGGGAGAGGGAGGAGCGTAAACATTGAGCATGTGTCTATTTGTTACACGACCTGCACTCACTCCCACTAGCCCGTGTTCAACACTGCAGGTTTCTTCTCTGGAGAAGGCACAGGGGTGGTGAGCGTGGAGGGGCAAGAGCAGAGCAAGTATAGGACACGCGTGTATGCAGTTATTAGACCAGCATTCGCAGACGATCAACTGCAGCAAGGCAGACAACATGCAGCAGCCTCCAGTTCAGAGTGAAGCCACCTGAATTCCTTGCCCAAAACAAAAAAACCCAAATTGTTTCCAAAATTTGAAGGGGGCACACACACACACTCAATTCACACGACAAGCCGGCCTTTATTATACCAACAGCTCCGACAGTGCTTCTACGTTTCACCTTGTACAACGCCCCTGGGGTTAGGTGATCTTAGAGTCGACTCAAAACCACCTCCTGGTGTCAACCTTCAGCGTCTACCCAGCCTTGCCTCCTCGTTCAACGCCCCTGGGGTAAGCTGACCTTCGAGTCGACTCGAGCGCCACCTCCTGGTGTCGTCCTTCAGCGCCTGCCCACCCGTACCGTCTCGTGTCTCTCCCTTGGACAGTTCAGCCGTCGCATTGTTGCGTCTTCTCCCTTGCTCCGTTTCGCCCTTAGAGCTACTCCATTACATCAAGCCACACCAGCCATCTCGCGCCTTCCCGCGCCTTCCCGCGCCTTCCCGCGCCTTCCCGCGCCTTCTCGCGCATCACCACCCTCAACCGTCAGGCTGTAGCGTCTTCTTCCTCCTCCGCGGTGGCTCCGCTCCAACCTTTGAGCTACTCCGTATGCATTCAGCCACGCTAACCTTCTCGTGCAACATCTTGGCCGGTTCAGCCGTCAGGCTGGCTGTGGCGACCTCTTGTGTCCAACATTGAAGCTAGTCCTAATTCACTCAGCCAGGCTTACCGTCTCGTACAACGCCCTTGGCAGGCTTAGCAGCGGGGGCTGTGGCGCCTTCTACTTTAACCATAGAGCTACTCCGTGATAAAAAACAACCAGCCACGCGTACCTTCTCGCTTAACGCCCTTAGCGGGTTAAGCAGCGGCGGCTGTGGAGTTCTCTTCTGTAACCTTATAGCAATTCCTTTCACGCATCAAGTCCGGCTTACCTTCTCGTTTAACGCCCTGGGCAGGCTCGGCAGCGGGGGCTGTGGCACCTTCCGCTTCTTCTGCTTCTGCTCTCACGGCCACGTGTCGGGGGATGGCCCGGCTCTGCTGCGTTTTCGACGCCTGCACGAAATTCCGCGAAAACAGGAGAAAACGGGGTACCAGCAAACGGATAGAACCGTGATATATGAATACTCGCTTGCCAGTATAAGTGTCTGAACCAATTGGGTGGATTCTGTGAAAAAATACCAGAAATAGGTAGAATGATGAATGATGCAAGCGTCGGCGTGACTTATCCTTAAAAAAATAAATAATGATAATAAAAAATCAGCGATTCGTACGGCATTGATAGATTGTACAGGGGAGTTGTGACGTACATGGAGCAGTGGTAACCCGAGTGGCTTCGCTGACACCTGTCGCAAGGAGACGGAAAAAAGGGACGGGAAATATGGATGTAGGAGGGTGATGAGCAATGGAAGGCAGCACAGGCTTAAAGACACGGTCTTTGTTAGTGTGCAGAAAAGCAGCAGCGTTGACAAAATGCAAGAGCAGCAGGATGCGGGAAGTCTCGAGCCCGCGGGGGAAACGTTACTCTACGACTACATTTATTGAACTACTGGCAGTCCAGGGGCCGATTTACGCTCTCGGTAGTCAGCATTCTCTGGCGACTAACCGCATTGGATGAACGCGAAGACAGGCTGGCAGCAGGAGCCACGCAAGCCGTCGCCACGTGGCTGACGAGAGCAACGGAAGATGCCATTGTGATCGCTTTTGCTGAGTCTGCCGACGCAGGTAACGTGCGGTGATGCGGGTAAGCAACCGAGGAGGCAGAAACGCAGTGAGCGCTCAGAGACAGGGGGGCTCACTTGTTTGAATTAGGCGTAAGTACGGGTGAGGTGAGGAAATGCCTTCTACAGAAATGCCTATTCCTGCCTTGTTTTGTGTTGTGTAGGTATGTAATTGCCTAGTGTGCGCTAGATGGAGGGATGTGCCACAAGAGTCCACTCGATCGCGGTTCAGTGAGTTTTGTTGCGGTTCATCGCATTTGTCTTCTGTGTGCAGCGGTTGGGTAGGTTTTGACGGAGAAACAACACTTCTGTCACTCCCTAAGGTCGATGTGCGACGATGAAAATCGAGGCGAGAAACAACGGGAGTAGATCAGAAAGCGTCAGGTAATTTGGCTGGGCGATCAGAATGCGTCAGGTTTGGCGAAAAAGTGCCCCGAAAAAATAAAGGGCCCTGAGTTTAGGCTTGATGTCACCCCGAAGTCTACAGACCCTTATGGGTTTTATTGTTTTGGGCAGCCCGAAGTACACTTACCACAAAGCGACGGGAGGCACCTAACGCTTATTGATATCTTCCCGATAAACAACTGCCTCTGCGAAAATCAAATTGAGTACGCGATGAAGAACGTCGCACAGGCTGAGGTGGAAGGAGACGTGGCTGCTTAGTTCGTAACCACGTGGAAAATTACAGCCTAAGGGATCTCCGCAAGGATCTGGAGCGCGCTGTTCTCTCGAGGCATATGTGGGGCCAGGTTCGCCATGGACACGTGTGGAGGGATGGTGATGTGGGCTCTCGTTGATTCCACGTTGAGCGACTCTGATTCGTTGTCAGCGGAATCCACCTCCCACCCTAGTCAGCATCTTCAAGGGTTGGAAGGTTCTCCAGATGCCGCGTTCCACCACTGGATGCTGCACTGGGTGAAAGTTATAAGTGAATCGAATTACCGTAATCCCCCGGATATAACACCCGCCGAAATTAAGCACCCCCTGGTGTTATATCCGGGGAGGGTGTTCTATTGAAGAATCCGCAATTATACACCCTCTTTTTGAGGGTTCCAGGAGAGCACCCCCCCCATTACATTCGAACCCTTCTACCCCTAACAATACCGGCAACAAATGCAGTTTTTTAATGCTATTTCATGCTGATTACGACCAGGACGCAAAAGTTGAAATTTTCCGAGGCACTTGACGTGGTTCTCTGGTACTGAAAATGACAAAGTGAAACAAATCTTCACCTGGAAAAGCGCAGTGGGCCGACAATTTTTGTTTCAATTGTGCGACAGACCTGTGCTGATTGGCTGACGAGCGTCGCAATTTTCGTCCAGTCCATTGCGAGTGTCGCCAACCCCCCAATCTCGCTTCACTAACCTGACACAAACCTGAAATTCGTGAGCAAGTGGGCAATCCGGGGCTATTCAGGACCTCGAGAAAACGTACGCCTTTTCAGCCGGAATTTGAATGGTTGAAATCGCCATGACGCACTGAATCTAATGCACATCTTAAAAATTCTGTCCTCAAATATAACACCAGGGTGCTATAGCCTAAACGCAAAATAGAGCACCCAACCCCCTGATTTTGCATGAATTTTTTACTATACCCGGGGTGTTATATCAGGGGGATTACGGTACACTTCGCTCTGGGCTAGAAAAGGAAGGCCTACAACAGTTTATCAAAATCCTTGAAAAAACACAACACACTTGGAACTTTTCACATCCTCAACTTCAAAACTGCCATGCTCCGGTAGCATTTAGCCTCGTTTGCGTTTTCCGTGTGACTTGTTCGCACGCACCGTACTTTCTTGCTGCAAGTTCATCAGCTTCACACTTCCTATCTCTTGCTTCCCCCCCACTTAGTGTTTCTGCTTTCTGTTGCCCTTCCCCATCTTCAAAGCCTGCTGCCTTTCCTCTTCCTGCTGCTGCTCCTTCAGCTTAGCACCATCTCCCTCCCATACAGCTCCCCACCCAGAAACACCAATCCCACCACCACCGTTACTGGTCCCACCCACTTGTGCACAGGGACTAGCATTCATGCCGACTGTTGCACCAATAATTCCCCCCCCTCCCCTGCCACGTCCAACCCCACCTCCTTCCGACGACTTTCTCAAATCACACTTAACCCGCACTCCTGCTCGCCCTCCTCCCTTCCCCTTTCGCACCACCGCCGTCCATCCCTCCCCTCCCCCCTCCTCCCCTTGCTCTGTCCCAGCAACAGCAGCAGCAGCAGCAGTAGAAGCTGAAGCAGCTACAGCAGCAGACAGAGCAGACATAGAATCAGGCGCAGTATCATCAGTGGTAACCGCATCGCCTGCCCCACGAGCTAGTTGCGGTGCAGAAGCGCTAGTTGCGGCAGCTGCAGCGGCAGCTACAGCTGCAGCGGCGGCAGGAGCAGAGAGGGAGGAGTATCCAGGAGGGCGGAGGAAGGTGAGGGAGGAGAAGAGCGAAGAGAGGAGGGCAGTGTCTGGGGGAGATTGAGGTATTGCTGCCTGAAAGGGGTGTGGGCGAGAGGGGGGGGGGGGATAGGATTTCATTAACAGCAAGGCAGGCAGAGCGGTGGGACGGAGGAAGGTGAGGGAGAAAAGGGAGGAGACGAGGGAAATGTGTGGAGGAGAAGGGGGCATGGTTGCCCGGGGAGGGGCGGCAGGACAAGCACTAGTGGTTGCAAGGGAGGAGAGAAGGGCAGTGTGTGCCTGCGGGGGGTGCGAGCAAGAGGGAGGAAGGAGGGGAAGGATTGGAAAACAAGAGGAAGGTGAGGGAGGAGAAGAGAGCGGAGAGGAGGGTAGTGTCTGGAGGAGAGGGGGGTGTTGCGACCTGCGAAGGGAAGGGATGTGGGTGGGAGAGAGGGGGGGGAAAAAAAGATTTCACTAACACTTGAACAGGCAAAACCAGCGGGGCGGAGGAATGTGAGGGAGGAGAAGAGCAAGGAGAGGAGGGCAGTGTGTGGAGGGTGAGGAGGAATCGCTTCCTGCGAAGGGAGGTAAGCAAGTGGAAACAGGGAGAAGGGCGAGGAGAGGAGGGCAGTGCCTGGGGGTGGAGGAGGCATTGTGGCGTGCGATCGGGTGAGAGAGTGAGGAAGAGAGACAGGATTAGCAAAAGCGGGGCAAGCCGAGGTTTGTCTGGTGGAGTGTGATGGACTGCAGAATGAACACAAATCGAATGTCAATACAGGAACCCCCACCCCCCCAAAAAAACAAAACAAAACAGAGAACATATGAGAGAGTGTCCAAAGTGCAGTCTGTCATCCGCTGTATGGAACGAATCTTAGAAGTTGTCATCCGTCTGTACGGAAATCAACGGACGAGACTCGTTCTGTCATCCGCTGTCATCCGACGACAGAACGAATCATAGCCGTTGTCATCCGTCTGTACGGAAATCAACGGACGAGACTCGTTCTGTCATCCGCTTGTGATCAACGACCTTGGGACATAATTGGATGGACCTACTTGTGATGCTGCTGATGACATGGATGGGTGGATCACCACGCACGGCCGCTGCTGCTGGTTCTGCTGCCGCCGTGACTCTGCACGAGCCAGAAGCTTCCTGGAAAGACGAAGGGCACCAAAAAGGTTCGTGGACAGTACTTCACAAAGCTATGTTTGTACTTCACAGTACTTCACCAAAAAGGTTCGCGGAGAGCACATTATTCCTAAAGGACCCTGTTCCTCCATAGTAACATCCGAGACTCTTAGTCCCATGGTCGCAATCTGGACACTTCCTTTCTAAGGGGCCTCAAGACGCTCTCACCTACATCAAGTGCTCTTCTGAGCACAAGATCAACACAAGATCATCACAAGATCATCACAAGATCAACACAAGATCATCACAAGATCCTCACAAGATCATCACAAGATCATCACAAGTTCCTCACAAAATCATTGCAAGATCATTGCTACTGGATTCTGCTCCCTCAGGTGGTCTGCCGAGTTGCCCACACCATCGCAAGATGCACAGGTGTGCACAGGTGTGCACAGGTGTGCAGAGGTGTGCACAGGTGTGCGTGATGCGCGGTGGCTCAGAACGAGCGCCAACACTCAATATGGGTAGTGGTAAGGGTAGTCACACAGTCACACTCATTATTAGCCCAGCCGGCACAATTATTTAAGGGCAGGTGCACTTACTTGGGAGTGACGGTCAGGATAACGCGGATCTGATGACGTGTCAGACCCGCCAGTGACAGCAAGGCTGCCACGTCAGCAGGCCTCTTCAGCTGCCGTGCTGCTGTGGCACCACAGGATAGAATCAGGCACTTGCCACGTGTCACCTCTGAGACCTCCTGACGTGGAGAACAAAAGCATTTCAATACGGGAGAGAAATTCAGAACCCCTAAAAATCCCAAAGCAATGAATTTTTGGGAAAATAATAAACTCCTGACATGCAACAGTAGAAATGTTCTCAAAGCTTTTATCGGTTGTTCTAATAGGGCTAACGATGACAAGCCTTATATCGAAACGTCCAGCAGCAAACCTATCACTTCACCTTGATTCCCTGTAGCAAGGGTGCTAATAGGGAGCGGTCTGAGAGGACAGGGCCGTAGGAAAACTCAAACACGCGACCAGCCTGCCATGCATGTGAGAGGATGCGTGCCATGCATGTGAGAGGATGCGTGCCATGCACGTGAGAGAATGCGTGCCATGCATGTGAGAGAATGCGTGCCATGCATGTGACAGAATGCGTGCCATGCATGTGAGAGAATGCGTGCCATGCATGAGAGAGGATGCGTGCCATGCATGAGAGAGAATGCGTGCCATGCATGTGAGAGGATGCGTGCCATGCATGTGAGAGAATGCGTGCCGTGCATGTGAGAGAACAAATGCCATGCATGTGAGAGAATGCGTGCCATGTATGGTGGGATCGTGGGAAAGGAAGGGAGGTTGATGAAGGAAACGTGGTGTGCTTTGAGACGTGTTAGGCGTCCACCGCACTGCCCATGGGCGGACATGGGCGGACATGGGCGGACATGGGCGGTCATGGGCGGACATGGGCGGACATGGGCGGATATGGGCGGTCATGGGCGGTCATGGGCGGTCATGGGCGGACATGGGCGGTCATGGGCGGACATGGGCGGACATGGGCGGACATGGGCGGACATGGGCGGATATGGGCGGTCATGGGCGGTCATGGGCGGACATGGGCGGACATGGGCGGACATGGGCGGTCATGGGCGGACATGGGCGGTCATGGGCGGACATGGGCGGTCATGGGCGGACATGGGCGGACATGGGCGGACATGGGCGGTCATGGGCGGTCATGGGCGGATATGGGCGGTCATGGGCGGTCATGGGCGGACATGGGCGGTCATGGGCGGACATGGGCGGACATGGGCGGTCATGGGCGGACATGGGCGGTCATGGGCGGACATGGGCGGTCATGGGCGGACATGGGCGGTCATGGGCGGTCATGGGCGGACATGGGCGGTCATGGGCGGACATGGGCGGACAAGGGCGGACATGGGCGGACATGGGCGGTCATGGGCGGACATGGGCGGTCATGGGCGGACATGGGCGGACATGGGCGGACATGGGCGGACATGGGCGGTCATGGGCGGACATGGGCGGACATGGGCGGACATGGGCGGTCATGGGCGGACATGGGCGGACATGGGCGGACATGGGCGGACATGGGCGGACATGGGCGGACATGGGCGGACATGGGCGGTCATGGGCGGACATGGGCGGACATGGGCGGATATGGGCGGTCATGGGCGGTCATGGGCGGTCATGGGCGGACATGGGCGGACATGGGCGGACATGGGCGGACATGGGCGGACATGGGCGGTCATGGGCGGACATGGGCGGACATGGGCGGATCATGGGCGGTCATGGGCGGCATGGGCGGTCATGGGCGGACATGGGCGGTCATGGGCGGACATGGGCGGACATGGGCGGTCATGGGCGGACATGGGCGGACATGGGCGGACATGGGCGGACATGGGCGGACATGGGCGGACATGGGCGGTCATGGGCGGACATGGGCGGATATGGGCGGTCATGGGCGGTCATGGGCGGTCATGGGCGGACATGGCGGTCATGGGCGGACATGGGCGGACATGGGCGGACATGGGCGGACATGGGCGGATATGGGCGGTCATGGGCGGTCATGGGCGGACATGGGCGGACATGGGCGGACATGGGCGGATATGGGCGGTCATGGGCGGACATGGGCGGTCATGGGCGGACATGGGCGGACATGGGCGGATATGGGCGGTCATGGGCGGTCATGGGGACATGGCGGACATGGGCGGCATGGGCGGCATGGGCGGCATGGGCGGACATGGGCGGACATGGGCGGACATGGGCGGCATGGGCGGTCATGGGCGGACATGGGCGGTCATGGGCGGACATGGGCGGTCATGGGCGGACATGGGCGGTCATGGGCGGACATGGGCGGTCATGGGCGGTCATGGGCGGTCATGGGCGGACATGGGCGGTCATGGGCGGACATGGGCGGTCATGGGCGGACATGGGCGGTCATGGGCGGACATGGGCGGTCATGGGCGGACATGGGCGGACATGGGCGGACATGGGTGTGGAGTGGTATGTTGTGGCATGTGATACGACCTTATGATGCATGTTAGTTGTTGCAAAGTCGATTTTTTCAAATACTAAACCACTGACACCACTGACACCACTCATCACCTCTCATCACCTCTCATCACCTCCCATCACCTCCCATCACCTCTCATCACCTGCATCACTGCTTTGATGGCGGCAGGGGAGGGTCGGCTTGGCACATAGTGGGACACGTCTAGAGATATGATGTCCGCCTGTGTGTTAAAAAAGGGGGGGGGGAGGAGGAGGAGGGGGGGAATGAGAACTCAAGGCTTGGCACAACGCAAGACAAGACACGGCTAGAGAAACGATGTCCGCCTGGGGGAAGGGGAGAAGAAGGGGGAGGGGGGGACGGAAAAAGGGGGAGGAGCGGGGGGAAGAGGGGGAGAGAATTGATTTCTTTTCCGTTTCCTTTTTTTCTTTCTCTTTTTTTTTGGCCAGCTTTTGAAGTCATTGCAGGGTGCTTTTGAGCTGACTCGAGGCATCTCGACTCACCTTGTTGTTGAAACACACAGAAAAGCAAACACATCATTGCTCACCGGCAAGTCAGATCCAGCAGATAATATCCCGAGATCATATCCGGCAGATCATCGTTGAAGCAGCCGCCAGATCGTATCCCATCATCTTGCTATTACAACAGGCGGAAAGGAAGCTGCTACTATTCGCTGCACGGCCGCCAGGTCATATCCCATCCCCAACCACTAGTGTTAGCAGGTCAGACATGAGTGGAAGAAACGAGTTGGCACCACATGCACACCTTTTGAGGCGCCTCAAAAATAGAGTTGGCACCACACGCGCACCTTTTGAGGCGCCTCAAAAATAGAGTTGGCACCACACGCGCACCTTTTGAGGCGCCTCAAAAATAGAGTTGGCACCACACGCGCACCTTTTGAGGCGCCTCAAAAATAGAGTTGGCACCACACGCGCACCTTTTGAGGCGCCTCAAAAATAGTGTTGGCACCACACGCGCACCTTTTGAGGCGCCTTAAAAATAGAGTTGGCACCACATGCGCACCTTTTGAGGCGCCTCAAAAATAGAGTTGGCACCACACGCGCACCTTTTGAGGCGCCTCAAAAATAGAGTTGGCACCACACGCGCATCTTTTGAGGCGCCTCAAAATAGAGTTGGCACCACACGCGCACCTTTTGAGGCGCCTCAAAAATAGAGTTGGCACCACACGCGCACCTTTTCAGGCGCCTCAAAAATAGAGTTGGCACCACACGCGCACCTTTTCAGGCGCCTCAAAAATAGAGTTGGCACCACACGCGCACCTTTTGAGGCGCCTCAAAAATAGAGTTGGCACCACACGCGCACCTTTTGAGGCGCCTCAAAAATAGAGTTGGCACCACATGCGCACCTTTTGAGGCGCCTCAAAAATAGAGTTGGCACCACACGCACACCTTTTCAGGCGCCTCAAAAATAGAGTTGGCACCACACGCACACCTTTTGAGGCGCCTCAAAAATAGAGTTGGCACCACACGCGCACCTTTCGAGGCGCCTCAAAAATAGAGTTGGCACCACACGCGCACCTTTTGAGGCGCCTCAAAAATAGAGTTGGCACCACACGCGCACCTTGCTGTTGAAACAGGCGGACAGCAAACTGTCACTGATCAGCTGAGAGGCATCACAGATGGGAAAAAGGTCAGCTCTGCCACTTTTCCCCATCTGCTCAGGTCAGAGGCATCCCAGCCGCCAGATCGTATTCCCGTCCCCACCACCATGGGCAGGCGACACTTGAGCCAACCCAACGCGCACCTTGCTGTTGAAACAGGCGGACAGGAAGCTGTCGCTGGTCATTGGTTGCACGGCCGCCAGGTCATAGCCGATCCCCACTACCGTGGGCAGGCGCTCAGCGATCACGTCGGGTCCCCCCTCCTCCACTGCTGCAGTGACTCGGATGAGCTGGGTGAAGACTGGGTCTTGGGCTGTAAGGGGCTTGTATTGGGGAGCAACAGGGGAGGGGAAGGGGGATAGGGGGTTGCGGAGGGGATGAGAGAGAGGAATCGGAGGAGGAGGGTGAGGTGAAGAGAAGAGGTAGAGGAGGGCAGAGGGCGGAGGGCGGAGGGCGGAGGGCGGAGGGCGGAGGGCGGAGGGGGAAGGGGGTGGGGAGGGAGAGCGAGGAGAGGGGAGAGGGGGTTGCAGAGGGGGAAGGGGAGGTCGGTTTCACAGCTGTTGACTCAGCTCTATTTTTACTTAAGCGTTTACACAAGTTGCTGCCACGTTAAGTACCATGGCACCTAGTGGTGTTCACTCGAAGCGGAGGTCGGTTTCACAGCTTTTGTGTCAACTGAGGAGTAAAGGCTCCGGGGGGCGGGCAGCTGGCGCCAGCACCTTTGCCTTGAGACAGTTAGTTTGATTAGAATTCGAAAAAGACGAACAGAGCCCCCCTGCTGTTGCTACGCAAGCCAACGGGGCCATGGCCTACAGGGGTCAAGATAGGGAGAAAGGGGAGAGCGGGGGGAGTGGGGGGAGTGGGGGGAGTGGGGGGAGGGGATGGAGGGTGGGGGATGGGGGAGGGGGGAAGGGAGGGAGAGCGGAGCGAGTCGGGTTTCAGAGAGGGCTGTTGAATGAATGAAAAGCTGCGGTAGTTACTTGAAGCCGATTGGCTGAAGGGCTGTGTTCTTTCTTTCTCATGCGGGCATCCTTCTGCCCTGCAGCGCCTGCCGCTGTTCACGTAGGGCCTTCCTCCCCCTTCGGGCCTTCCCCCCTCTCTCCGCCTCCCTTCTTCCCCCCCTTCCCCCCCCTTTTCTTCCCCTCCCTTCCCCCCCTTTCTCTTCCCCCCCCTTTCCCCCTCCCCCCCCCCCCCTTCCCCCTTACCTGTGTTCCTTTCAGCGCGAGCCGCACTCGCTCTCGAGTCGCCTGCAGCATGTCCATCGGAATCGCCTTCACGCCGCACCGCTCGCGCGGCTCGACCTTCTCGCTCGGCCCCTTAAAGACGTTGAACGCGACGCCATGGTATCCTAGAGCCACCGCCGTTCCCGCCCAATCGCGCTGATCTGTGAGCGATTTGGAGCCTACGATAGGTATGTTGGCTTCTAGAAACATCCTCGATATAAGGAGAATGGTAGAGAGAATGCGGCAGCGACTAAGAACGGGGGTGTCACTTTTGCTTAGCCTGCGATCTTCACGAAGGGAACCGATTCAACGCGACATAGGCGAGTAAGCGTGCGATTATCGCCGGACTTCGTTGCGAACAAGGGGGGAAAGAAAGTGATCACCAGAACAGTGTGCACTCAGGTCAAACTCAGGGCGTGTTTTTGTAGTCGCTCATTGTCAAAAGTGTGGATTTGTTGCAAAATCTGGTACATGTGATTCGAGTCGAACCTGAAACACGAGAGAATCCAAACCACCCCGGCGCGAAAGGATTTCAAAATTCAAACCCTTCAGGTCTTATCTGAACAGGGTAGAACCTATTTCGTGCACTGTATGGATGTACAGTACGGTTAACCAGAGAGCATCTGTATTTTCAAGTGGTCTCGCCCTTGAATCAGCGGGCTCCAGCCACGCATGCATAAAGCAGTTGCCAGGACTAGTTATTCCATGCCACAGCTACTAGTACAGTAGTACTGTACTGGGAATTATGCTTGCTTGCATGCGCATCCGTCTCCCTTCCAGTCTTCGAGATCGACCTCGCACACTTTCTCCTAGCCCTAAACCGATCTAGCCAGCCTCTTACGCGCTCATGTCGTGCGATCGTCGATTCACGCATCTTTCGTCCCGCTCACCCCCTCTCTCCCGCGAGGTGTTCTTTCTAAGCCTGACGACCCTCCTTTGTATCACATCCTGTAGAGCAACGTTTCATTCCGCTGCTGTCACGCAATCCAAGCGAGCTGAATCACGATCAGTCGGATCTAGACCAGATCAGTCCCCGGAATCCCGACAATTGCGGCGAATCCTGACAGAATCCGACGATCTCGGAGCCAACCCTCAAAGTGATGACGACTCCCCAACCAACACCGAGCCTGATCCTCTGGTTCGGTACCGCGACGAGGCAGATTCCGAAGCTGATGTCGCCGCCTCCTCCTGGCAAACCCCGTTTCTCCGCCCCCAGCGAATCCATCCCGCAGATCTCGCCGCCGAATGCGCTGAGCTCGCGCCAGGATTCGACCCCGCGGTTCTCGCGGCGCGGGAATCCTTCGGACCAATCACGACGCTGGACGATCTAAAGCGGCTCGAGGACGGCCAGCGCGTGCTCGTCGTAGCTCCGCGGTTCGGCCTCGGGAACACGCTGCGCAATTGGGTATCCGCGTACATGTGGGCTTTAATCTCCGGTCGCAGAATAGTCATTCTCCACGCGGGTAAATTCCACGGCGTACTAGCGAGCACCTGCGAGGCGTTTAAATGCGATTTCGACCACATATATCCCAAGAAACTGTTAGACTCTCGTGTCAGGGGAGGGGAGGGGAGCAGCAGAAGGAAACTCGCCGCCAATCGCGGAGAAGGAAGGGTGGGAGGGAGCAGGGAAGGGAGCGACACCGATGGGGACAGATCCGAACCTGAGTCCGAGCCTGGGACCGAGCCTGGAGGCCACGCTCGGAGGCAGCTGGGGTTGCATCGGCGAAAGGGTCGGCGGAGCAAGGGGCAGCCGGGCTGGCAGGCGTACGAGTGGGATTCGGAGGACGCTGCGACGGATCCCGACGCGATGCTGTACGAATTCGAGAGTAACGTTACATTCGCTACAGTAACGCACCCCACAGCGCGAGCCGCGTTACAGTGGACGGATAAGATCGTCTTCGCGTTTAGCTACGCGTTCTGGGACCACTGGTGGCTGAACGACCGGAGATTGTCCCAATGCGCGTGCCGGGCTTTAAATCTAGGGTCCTCCTCCCCGGATTTCCCGGAAAGGGTTTCGTGCCGGCCGGCAGCAGGGGGGGGGTACAGGTCAGCAGCGCTGCATGCCTTGCTGGCAGGCGGGCCCACGCTGGCGCTGAGTCAGACGATCCAAAATATCCTCCGGAGGCACGAGCCGGATCCTGATAGGCTGAAATTGCCGCTGTCTCCTGCTGACGTGGCAGCCGCTGATTCGCCGCTGGAAATGGAGTTTGACGTGGGGCTGCATATACGGACAAGAACTGCCGTCCTGGAGCGACCTGACAGGCTGTTTGCGGAGTGTGAAGGGACGGCGAGGGGAGGAGGAGGGGGTGAGGGAGGGGGAAGGGAGGAGGGGGAGAGCAAGGAGGAGTGTGAGAGGCGGCAGGTGGAGAAGGAGAGGGAGAAGCACCGGGCGCTGTACCTGAACCCCCTCACTTGGAAATGCGTGGGGCGGCTGCTGACAGAGCTGGGGGAACAAGCCAGAATCAGGAAAGAAGAGGGCAGAAGTGGTAGAGATGGGGAGGAGGGGGCGGAGGATGATGCGAAAGGTAAAGCTAAACAGGGGCGCGCGCTGTCCATCTTCCTTGCGACGGACAACGAGGCGTTACGGCCGGAGATGGTAACCAGACTGGCGCCATACGGGGTGGTGTACTACAATGGGGCAGAAGTGGCTCATGTAGGGGTGTCCACTGATAAGCACACGGGGCGGCTGCCGACTATGGCTGAGTTTTACCTGCTGGGAAAGAGCCACGTTATTGTGGAGCTCGATAGCTACTTAAGCACGTTTTCGTACTTTGCTGGGCTGTTTGGGAACGGGACTATTGTGTCGGTTCCGTACAAGGTGACGAGTATTAACCGGTGCTCGCATGTGCGGCCGGCACAGAAGGGGTCGTGGAGGAGAGGGGATTCGAGAGGGCAGTCGAACAACTACTTCTTTACAGACCAGTGACAGGAGATGGAGGGGAGATGGAAGAGGGGTTTAGGCTGATGTCTGCATGTGCGGCCGGCACAGAAGGGGTCGTGGAGGAGAGGGGATTCGAGAGGGCAGTCGAACAGCTGCTTCTTTACAGACCAGTGACAGGGTGGGAGGCAGATGCTGAGCCTTCATGCAGCAGTGCTGCGTGGACGTGGCAGCATCACCAAGTGCTCCCACACGTGCAGTGTAGGCACAGACGGGGTAGGAGCAGAGACGGACGAGGACAGCTGAACAACTACTTTTTTCCAGAGAACAATGACAGGGTGGGGGGCTGATGCTGAGGCGGCATGCAGCAGGGCTGTGTGGAGGTGACAGCATCATCACCAGGTGCTCCCACGTGCGGCCGCCACAGAAGGGGTTGTGGAGAGGAGAGGACAGATGACTGTCAGACAAGCGCTGAGAGAGACCTGTCTTGGGATGAACTAAGAACCGTCAGGACAAAAGAAAAACTGCTGGTAGAGTGTGGCACCATGTTTCAGAAGAGCGGTATGTTATTGTAAGTTTTGTGGCAGTCTGAGTCCAAGGCATTCAATCTGAGGGCGTATTCCTTGAAACTCGGCGTATTCCCTCAAACTTAACTATTGCTTCAAACTCGGAGTATTCCTTCTAACTCAGCTTCCCTGCGTGTCTTGACGAAAACGTTTTCCTGCGTGAGCACACATACTCCAAATCGTGGCGTGGGTGTGTTCCTTGAACCCAACAGCACATGTACCGGTAGCTTCACATGACTGGAGTCCAGAAAGCACAACACAACCAAGCGTGCACTACCTGACAACACCAAAAGGCCTAGAGCGTCGTGTGAAGCTGGAAGTCCCCAGCATGGCCTTGCCATCTAGCAGAGCAAGCTGGACGTTCAAAGCACCGAAACCAGCAGGAATCCAAAGCGTCAATGGTCACGACTCACGAGCACTGCACGTGAGGCTGGTGCCCCTTCCCAGCTGAACTTCATTCCACAGAAATTCCTCTCAACAGTATTCCACTGTCCCCAGTCTCCATCCACTCAGCCACATCCCTTGCCTCTACAGGCAAGGATCACACAGCCACCAGAATGGAAGGCAGAAGTTGGAGAGAGCGGGGAAGCTGGCCTCAGAGCGAAGCAGGCCTGGGCCCGTCTCTAATACGGTACCATAAGGAGCACTTGACCCTGGCAGTTAAGCAGGGCATGGCAGCAGCATCGCTGATGACATGCAGTGCGGCATGGCCTCACCTCAAACCTTCTTCACAATCTGCACCACGTCCTCGTCCTCCAACTCGTGCTCCTGTGGTACATATAACAGAGGCAGCGGGGAGGAGGCTTGGCTGGCTCACACCTGCAACAGTTCTCACAGCTTGCTACCGCCGGTCCTAAGAATGAGCCTCTCAACTCAACATGAAGTCCCTCCAAATCCCGCCACAGTCAGCACTCGCCTTGCTACAGCCGGTCCAAAGAACGAACCTCTCAAAGTACCAATCACGCCACAGTCAGCACTCACCTTGCCGACTCGCTGTGGCTTGTGCTTTGCGCTGGACCCCCACACAAGTGCACTGGTGGGTGGGAAGGGGGCGGGTGTGGGGGGGGGGAGGGAGCAAAGGGATGACGCAAGAGGTGAGTCAATTGTGGCTTGTTCTTGGTGCTGGACCCTTACATAGGAGCACTGGGGGCGGGGATGGGTGAGCGGCACGCACAGAGACGTAGGATGGAGATCGGAACTGGACCCCCACACACGAGACTTGACCCCACACGAGAGCAATGCAGGGAAGGCATGGGGGAGGTTTTGAGCCAACCACAGACGATTCTTTTTTGGAAGCATTCTCATTTTAGGCGTGTCACCCATCATGGCCGACGGAACGACCGGATCCCCTTACTACGATTTCGGCCGCCTTGGCTGTATTCACTATTTCAACATGCCCCAACCCACTATTTGAGGCTGCCTGACCCAGCATTTCGGCCTGCTTGACTCATTTCAGGCTGCCCAACACACAATTTTACCTGCCTAAGTCACTCTTTCAGCCTGCCTGACTCAATATTTGAACTGCTTGGACATGTCCTTGTGGATGCGACTCACTACTCCACCTGCCCGACTCACTATTTCAGCTGCCCGACTCACTATTTGAACTGCTTGGACATGTCCTTGTGGATGCGGTTGCAAAAGTCGTCCACCGTGCGCGTCTTGGCCGACAAAATCACCGGATCCTCGTAGTCTGGGTTCGCCCCCCGCGGCTTGGTGAACACGCGCACGAGGTCAAGGTACTCCCACACCTTCTCTAAAAGGCCGTCCAGGTTCCACTCCAAGTGAGCACTGAAAGCAGAGCATAAGGGGAAGGGGAGAGAGGGAGAGTGGGAAGGGAAGGGGTGAACACGCGCACGAGGTCCACGTACTCCCACACCTCCTCCAGTAGCCCATCTAGGTTCCACTCCAAGTGAGCACTGAATGCAGTGGGGGAGGGATGGGAAGGCAATGGTGAAGATGTGAGCACATATAGGATCCTCATAGTCCAGATTCGCCCCCCGCGGCTTGGTGAACACGCGCACGAGGTCAAGGTACTCCCACACCTCCTCTGAAAGGCCGTCTAGGTTCCACTCCAGGTGCGCGCTGAGAGGATCGATCAAGGCAGAGATGGGAAGGAAGTGGTGAGTGTGTGAGCCCGTATAGGTTGCTCGTACACCCCCCCCCGGAACCCCCCTCCCCCCCCCTGCTGGGTCAACACACACAGAAGATCCAGGTGATCCCACACCTTCTCGAGTAACTCATCTAAGTTCCACTCCAAGTGAGCCCTGCAAGCACGGAGCATAAGGGGAGTGGGAGAGAGGCCTCAACCGCCCTCTGTAACGTCAATCAGATCGTCCACTGCGAGGTGACTTTTGAGTCGACTCAAAAGTCAATCAGATTGTCCACTGCGAGGTGACTTTTGAGTCGACTCAAAAGTCAATCAGATTGTCCACTGCGAGGTGACTTTTGAGTCGACTCAAAAGTCAATCAGATTGTCCACTGCGAGGTGACTTTTGAGTCGACTCAAAAGTCAATCAGATTGTCCACTGCGAGGTGACTTTTGAGTCGACTCAAAAGTCAATCAGATTGTCCACTGCGAGGTGACTTTTGAGTCGACTCAAAAGTCAATCAGATTGTCCACTGCGAGGTGACTTTTGAGTCGACTCAAAAGTCAATCAGATTGTCCACTGCGAGGTGACTTTTGAGTCGACTCAAAAGTCAATCAGATTGTCCACTGCGAGGTGACTTTTGAGTCGACTCAAAAGTCAATCAGATTGTCCACTGCGAGGTGACTTTTGAGTCGACTCAAAAGTCAATCAGATTGTCCACTGCGAGGTGACTTTTGAGTCGACTCAAAAGTCAATCAGATTGTCCACTGCGAGGTGACTTTTGAGTCGACTCAAAAGTCAATCAGATTGTCCACTGCGAGGTGACTTTTGAGTCGACTCAAAAGTCAATCAGATTGTCCACTGCGAGGTGACTTTTGAGTCGACTCAAAAGTCAATCAGATTGTCCACTGCGAGGTGACTTTTGAGTCGACTCAAAAGTCAATCAGATTGTCCACTGCGAGGTGACTTTTGAGTCGACTCAAAAGTCAATCAGATTGTCCACTGCGAGGTGACTTTTGAGTCGACTCAAAAGTCAATCAGATTGTCCACTGCGGCGCCGCATCTGAGGTACACGTCCCCCTTGAGGATGCCGTCGGAGCACACACCCATACCCTGCCACCATGTCTCCATAGAATGAGAGGCTTACCACCTTCTTTCCTCACCTGACGGGGCAGTAGTGCGGCAGCTTATCCAGCACCTCGAGCTCTTCGAGTGTGATCTGGTCGATCTTGTTGACCGCATACACGCACGGGATGTACACGCGGCTGCCCTCTATCACGTCGATCAGGTCGTCCACAGTCGCGTCGTATCTCAGGTGCACGTCCGCGTTGTGGATGCGGTACTCGGAGCACACGGCTTTCACAGTGTCCAGGTCCAGGTTGGTGACGGCGCATGAGGCAGTGATGCTGATGCCGCCCTTGTCCTTGCGCCGGAACGTCAGGTTCGGGGGCTCCTTGTTCAGCCTGGGACCATGGGAATGTGAAAGGCGCGTTGGAAAAGACAAAGAGGAGAAGAAGGGGAGAGGCCCGGGGTGGTGGGAACGGGAGGGGAGGGAAGTGGGAGGGGGGGGGGGGGGAGTGAGTGGTGTGGATGCGGTGCTCAGAGCACACAGCCTTGACAGTGTCCAGGTCCAGGTTGGTGACGGCACATGAGGTCGTGATGCTGATGCCGCCCTTGTCCTTGCGGCGAAACGTCAGGTTCGGGGGCTCCTTGTTCAAGCTGGGAGGGGGGAAGAGAGGAGAGGAGAGAAGGGGAGAGGAGAGGAGAGAAGGGGAGAGGAGAGGAGAGAAGGGGAGAGGAGAGGAGAGAAGGGGAGAGGAGAGGAGAGAAGGGAATGGCAGGGGTGTGGAAGGTGAGCGTTCAGAAAAGCGGTATTTCAAGCACACTGTATCACTGAGAAATGCGGTATTTCAAGCACACTGTATCACTGAGAAATGCGGTATTTCAAGCACACTGTATCACTGAGAAATGCGGTATTTGAAGCACACTGTATCACTGAGAAATGCGGTATTTCAAGCACACTGTATCACTGAGAAATGCGGTATTTCAAGCACACTGTATCACTGAGAAATGCGGTATTTCAAGCACACTGTATCACTGAGAAATGCGGTATTTCAAGCACACTGTATCACTGAGAAATGCGGTATTTCAAGCACACTGTATCACTGAGAAATGCGGTATTTCAAGCACACTGTATCACTGAGAAATGCGGTATTTCAAGCACACTGTATCACCGCGTCAACTTTAGGAGGTTGACAAGCAAGGGATTTACGCTGACGCCAGTCCAAGACTGACCATGCAACATGCCTTGTGTGTCGATCACTCACACAACACACACACCTGATACCAAAGCAAAGCCTTGGAGCTCCTTCTCAATGAGCCTCTTGTGTTCTAATGGGCTTTTCAGCATCCCCAATGCAAACCCATGCGACACGCCTTTTAAGTCGTTAGATGAACACACCTGAAACCAAAGCCCTCGAGCTCCTTTTTTCAACAAGCCTCTTGTGCGTGATGGGCTTGATCACGTCCAGCAGCCATATGACGACGCAACGAGCCTTTTGCAACGTCGACTCACACAACGCAACGCAACACAACACGCCACGCACACACCTGATACCAAAGCCCTCGAGCTCCTTCTCAATGAGCCTCTTGTGCGTGATGGGCTTGATCGCATCCAGCACTATGACGATGCAGTTGCACGTGCGGGCCGTCGAGATGACCTGATCATGCCACAAGAGGAGGGCGGAGAGATCGAGAAAGTTTTCAGACGTCACAAAACTCTCGAGTGTGCATGATAGGCGGGATTGCATCCAGCATTAGCACAATGCAATGCAGTGGCACGTGCAGGCTGTGGAAATGACGTGACGATACAAGAGGAGAGAGGACCGACTTGACTAGTTGAGCATGTAGGAACAGTGCAGCCCACAACTATGGGATGGAGAGAGGAAGGTAGAGGAGAATGTAATCAGGTAAGAGGAGGGAAATGGATAACTTCAGGGAGGGAGTAAACACGAAAGCCGCATCTAATGTCCCTTGTATTGAGGAGAAGTCTCAAATCCGCACATACCTGCCTTCCGCGCCCTTTTCCGTCCTTTGCCCCCTCAATAATTCCTGGTAGATCCAGCAGCTGCCAGCCAGCAACACAAGGCAGAGACAATGAGGGTAGATGCAACACATGGGAAGTAGTGAGTAAGGAGGGATACTTGAGACAATATGACGGCAGGGGAGGGGGGGGAGGGGGGGGGGGTGGGGGGGGGGGTAACATGTGGGAATACTTCTCAAAAACTTTTCGAGTCGATAATATAGAACTTAATAACACCTCCTTCTCACACGAGAACAGAAAATAGCCTCTCAAACTAATCGCGCGACCTCCGTGCTCAGCCGAATCTTTTGAGCCGAGTCAAAAGTTCTTCCGTGCCGTGCTCACCTGGATCTTAGCCCCTCTGTAGCGGATGACACCAGGAATGCATGTGAGCGTTGTGAACTCGTAGGACGCCACCTGCAGGGGTAAAGAACGCGGATGGCACAGCAGAGATGCATGTTGAGGTACCTTAAAACGGGGATAACTCATGTGAGACGCCTGGTGACAGCAGGGGTGTAGCATGAAAAGCTCGCGACAAAACCCGACTTTGGCATGCGAATGGTTTGTTTTTACTCTCAAAAGCTAACGCTAACAAGCTGGAAAGGTGCCAACCTGAAAGGGGTGTTGTGCGTCTGTGTGTACCTCTGAGAAGGTGCCAGTGCACTGCTCGTGATGGACACTCGTGTGCTTGCTCAGGAGCGCCCATCACGATCACCCCACGGAGGGAAACCCCACGAGCCCCACTCTAGAGTCTCCGTTTTTCGTCACGTCTATCTCCCCCTCCCCTCCCCTGCTCCTCTTGTTTGACAGCTCACCTCCAAAAAGGTGCCCGTCAGCAGCTTATTCTGCAGCGTTGACAGCTTATTCAGCAGCGTTGACAGCTTATTCAGCAGCGTTGACTTGCCAACGGAGGGGAAGCCCACGAGCCCACTCGCGCTCTTTGCCACGTCGACCCCCTAGCCTGCTCCTTCTGTTCAACAGCCTCTGCCTCTGAGGAGGTGCCTGTGAGCCTTTTAAGCAGCGTTCACTTGGAACCCCACAAGGCCCACCCTTGAGTCCCCACTCTTTGTCAGGCAAACGCCCTCGCCCGCTCCGCCTGACAGCTTACCTCCTGAGAAGGTGCCTGTGAGCTTGTTCAGCAGGGTTGACCTCCCCCCCAGAGGGATTTCCCTTCCCATGAGCCCCACTCTTGAGTCGCCGCTCTTCGTCATGTCAAATATCCGACCTTTTGACTGCTCCTCCTGTTTAACAGCTTACCTCTGAGAAGGTTCCCGTGAGCTTATTCAGCAGGGTTGACTTCCCCACAGAAGGAAAGCCCACGAGCCCCACTCTCGAGTCTCCGCTCTTGGTCACGTCGAACCCCTCGCCTGCTCCTCCGCCCCCCTTGCCTCCCGACGGCGTCAGGATCTCCCGCCGAAGCTTGGCTAGCTTGGCCTGTGGAGCGACAAGGGGACAGAAACGGAGAGTACGTGTGGGCGCGTGTCTCCTCCGCCCCCCTTGCCTCCCGAGGGTGTCAGAATCTCCCGCCGAGGCTTGGCTAGCTTGGCCTGTGAAACACACAAGGGGACGGAAACGGAGAGCAAGAGTGAGAGCGTGTCTCTCCTCCGCCCCCCTTGCCCCGCGAGGGTGTCAAGGACCTCCCGCCGAATCTTGGAAAGCTTGGCCTGTGAGCAGAGCAGTGACATAGAGAGGCGGAAGGGGGGGGAGGGAAGAAGACCAAAACGGTGAGAGTCGAACCCCTCGCCTGCTCCTCCGCCCCCCTTGCCTCCTGAGGGCGTCAGAATCTCCCGCCGAAGCTTGGCTAGCGTGGCCTGTGAGGCGACAAGGGGACAGAAACGGAGAGTACGTGTGGGCGCGTGTCTCCTCCGCCCCCCTTGCCTCCCGAGGAGCGTGTCAGGATCTCCCGTCGAAGCTTGGCTAGCTGGCCTGTGGAGCGAAGAAAGGGACAACGAAAGAGAGTAAGAGTGAGAGCATGTCTCTCCTCCGCCCCGCTTGCCTCCCGAGGGTGCCAGGATCTCCCGCCGAAGCTTTGGATTGGTCTGTAAGGGAGGGGGGGGGGGGGAAGAAGAAGGGGGAAAGAGCTAGAACACCAACCCTCCGCTCCCTTGCCTCCCAAGGGTGCCCGGATCTCCCGCCGAAGCCTTGCTAGACTGGACAGAGGGAGGGCGGGGGGTGGGAGGGGGGTGGGAGAAGGGGGGGGGGGGGGAAAGGGGGGGAAGGGGAGAGAGGGGAAAGGAAGGGGGAAAGGGCCAGAACACCAACGCTCCGCCACCCTTTGCCTCCCGAGGGTGACAAGTGATGGGCAGTGGCCTTGCTCCTCTGTGTGCGAGACGAATTCAAGGAAGTAGACACTGTTGTACGCACCTTAAGCAGCCCCGCTATCAGTATCAACTGACCTTGAGCAGATCCAAGTGATGCGCAGTGGCCTTGCTCCTCTGCGTGTGAGTGAATCTGCATAAACTATAAACAGTTGTACGCACATTAAGCAGCCCCGCTATCAGTGTGACTCACTTTAAGCAGGCCCAAGTGATGCGCCGTGGCCTTATTCTTCTGTGTCCGAGCCATCTGCAAGGACGACGGGCATAATATGGATGCACATACGCATATGAGAAATGTGAGACGCGGGCTAAAAAAAAAACAAAAACAAAAACAAACGAAACATCGGCGCATGCGGGGATGCACATAAGCTCACGGAAGCTGTACACACACACATGCATGCACGCGGGAATTTGTGCTTTCATAACGCATTCCGAATATCCTGATCTTCTGACCGTCGGATCCCCAACGGGTCCCCATGACCTCGATACAACAGGCCTCGAAACAACACAAGGACGCACCTCGATATAACAAGAATCGATGCAACGTAAGCGAGCCACGCACCTCATCTTCGATGTCTTTGATCTTCTGCAAAACGGTCGCCATGGCTGCCGGTCAGCAACAGACAGCAACAGCCAACGACAGTCAACCACGGCAATCTTTCTGCTCCTGGCCAACAGCGCTTAGCGCCTGTCGCCGACAGTTTTCCGCCAATCGAATCTAATCGTTCAAGACGGACGAGACGAGGCGACCAGAAAGTTTTATCGATCGGCTAAAACGGTCACACAGACGAAGTGAGGAATAAGGAGCGGAAAGAACACAGAGAGACTATCGCACGTTCACGCGTTCACCACTACTTTCGACTCCGAGGCGACTTCTGCACAACTCAAGAGCCGAACGGGACGATCACAAGTTGAGTCTACCGCTATCGCGAACGGGCAACGACTAGCTTTCACGAACGGCGACGAACTAGCTTTCGCGAACCAGCGACTACTAGCTTTCGTGAACGGGAGAGCCTAACAGGCAATCGATGCGGGGATTTTGAGTTGAACAAAAACCCTCGCCGGCTTTTTTTCTGCTTGAACGCGTGTGACTGCTTGAGGGCAGGAGGCAAAGTTCTAGGAGCAACCCTTGGGATTTGAAAACCACGCTACAAGTAGCAGTTTCTTCGCCCACAGATGAAAACTGCTGTATGTAACGAATCAGTGCAAATCGAGTGTTGAGCCATAAAACTAGTAGCAATAATACAAATTTTATGGTCATCAAACCATATGAGCGTGAGCAATGAATCTCACATCGATCGTATAATTATAGCATACAAAATGTATCTTTATAGCAACACAACTTAAAACAACATAAGGCATTCTAGACTAGTTTGGCATTCACCTATACTTTTACAACTCTATAACTCAATTAAGGAGAGAGCAAGGGTCGATGTCATGTCCAGGCTCTAAACATCGTCCACATCTCAGGCTGAACCCACTCGGAGGGAAACTGGAAGAATGGGAAAACGGAGTCTGGGAAATGGCAGGGAGGGAGAGAGGGAGACAAGCGACAAATATGACTACGCATGAAGATTGGCACGTTACGATGAACTACAAATGCATGTGCACGCATTCAAAATGCGTTCTTGCAGGTATATGTGCGCAGCGCATGCATTCAAATTGAAATCGAATTCCTGGCCTGCCTACCTATGCATGGGTTTGAGCATGTGCATGGGTGTGAGCACGTGCATGCGTGAAGGTTCCCTTGGGTTAATTTATATGCATCTATGGCTCTGCATGCGACACTCTGTGCGTGCGACACTCTGTGCATGTGACACTCTGTGCATGTGACGCTTTGTGCGTGTGACACCCTGGGTATGACACTCTGTGCGTGTGACACTCAGTGCGTGCGATACTGTGCGTGTGTGGGTGGGAAAGAGGAGGCGGGGGGACCGGGGAGAGAGGGTGGGAACATCAGGCTTGGGTGTGGGTGTGGGGGGGGAGGAAGGGATACGAGAAATAGTTGGTAACTCTAAAGACATAAAGCAAAATCATGTGCAACACACACAACAAAGAAATACATGTGCAAACACACAGAAAAGAAATACACGTGCAAACTCTCAGAAACTCATGTCAGATAAAATAACATAAATACCTTGAGAGCTGCTCTGACCCATCTCATTCTGCCACGTGGCAGCCACTGGAAGCCTGTCGTCCCGGTAGCTCTCCACCCACTCCTCCACCGGCACTCTCCTCTCAGCCGCCTCTATCAGCGCAGCGAGACACGCGTTCACCTGTAGCCAGGGGAATAAAGAAGGGAAGAAAGTCTGTCACCCTGCTGTAGCTTTCCACCCACTCCTCCACCGGCACTCTCCTCTCAGCCGCCTCTATCAGCGCAGCGAGACATGCGTTCACCTCCAGTAGGAAAGGGAAAGGAGGAAGTCTGGAGCAGGCGAATTGCGAACGAAGACAGCATGGGCTGCTCTCTCTCTCTTGCTCTCGAATGGTCCTTTGTTGCTGGGAATCCTGGGTACATGCTAGGCAAGTGGAGCAGGCGTAGGCTAGAGCCGCCGGTGGGAAAGGCCAGCACCCGGCCCTACCAACCCCCCCCCCCCCTTTTCTAAGGTTCTATCACGGCGAAGCAGTCCCCGAGGGACATGCCCGCTTCAGGCCCTCCCAAGGGGGGCCACTCTAGCGGTGACGCCTCGTTCACTCTCTCTTGCTCTCTCTCTCACTCAGTACCTCAGCGTACCTCGTGCCCCCTCTCCCTCGGCACCATTTGAGCGCCCCAGCAGGAGGAAGTGCGGTACTCGCCAGAGGCGTAGGAAGGAAGAAAGTATGTGTGACTGACCTCATGCGATGCTCCCTCTCCGTTATTCGGCACCTCAATATACCTCGTGCGCCCTCTCCCTCACCACCATGTGAGCGTATAAGAGGGGGAAGAAGCGCGCAACCCTCCTGGAAGCTTCTGCCTGGGTAAAGCACCTAATAAGCCAAGCCAGACGTCGACAGCCCCACCCCCTGAGCCGCCCCACCCCCTAATAAGAAAGAAGCGTGCCACCCGCCCTCCTACGCACGTGAAAGGAGAGAGCATGTGTGCGGCATACCTCGTGCGCCATCTCCCTCTGCACCATGTGAATGCCCAGCAGTGGGGAGAAGCATGCGACTCCCCCTAGGCTTCTGGCCTCAAGACATCCTGATATTCCACCACTTGACTCACCTCGTGCGCCCTCTTCCTCAGCACCGTGTGAGCTCTCAGCAAGGGGGAGAAGCGTGCCAACCCCCCCCAGGCTTCTGACGGCAAACATCCTGGTAAGCCAAGAAACGATACCCCACCCACCACTCCCTCAACTCACCTCTTGTCGTGTGCTCCCTCCCTCAGCACCATGTGAGCGCGCAGCAGGGACAAGACACGCGCCACCCTCCCCAGGCTTCTGCCCGGGTGAAATCCCGATGGGCGAGAATCAACAGCCCCAAACCCTGCCCTCTCCCTCAGCACCATGTGAGCGCCTAAGAGAGGGAAGAAGCGCGCCACCCTCCCTACACTTGAGAACGACGAGTGAAAGAGTGAAAGGCCTCATGTGTGACCCACCCCGTGTGCTCTCTCCCTCAGCACCGTGTGAGCTCCCAGGAGTGGGAAGAAGCGCGCCACCCTCCCCAGGTTTCTGCCCCATACTGACAACCCTGATAAGTGAGAGACGGACAGCCCCAGACCCTGAGCATACCTTATGTGCCCTCTCCCTCCGCACCTGTGAGAGCCTAAGAGAGGGAAGAAGCGCACCACCCTCCCTACACTTGAGAACGAAGAGTGAAAGAGCGACATGCCTCATGTGTGATTGACCTCGAGTGCTCTCTCCCTCAGCACCGTGTGCGGGCCCAAGAGGGGGAAGACGCGCACCACCTTCCCCAGGCTGAGTTAGTTTTTTTAGAATTCTAAAAAAACTAGCTCAAGAGGGGGAAGGCGTGCACCACCTTCCCCAGGCTTCTGTGAGGAAAGGTGAAAAAGTAGTTAATTGTATTAGGAAAAGAGCGGGTATACATAGGTGAGGAGTAGGAGGGGGGGTTTGGCTGGGAGGTGACCACGATTATTGGTCAATCCAATAAGTTGGGTTGGCCAACTTATTGGGGGTCCAATAATCCTAGCCAAGATTATTGGTGGGTCCAATAATCTTGGTTGGGATTATTTGAGGGTTCCAATCATTGGGAGTAGACATGGGCACAAACCTGGCTCGGCTCGGCTCGGCTCGCCTTTAAGGCGAGCCGAGCCTTTGTTTTTGGTGCCCGGCTCGGCTCGCGCAGGTGACACCAGGCGAGCCGGAGTCGAGCCGGCTCGAAATGGCTCGAATTCGAGCCAGCTGGCTCACGGTTCGGGTAAGGGGGGGTTTCGCGACAGTCGAAATTCAAATCGAGAAACTCCCCCCCAAGCCCATTTCGTCAACCAACCCTAATCTTACCATAACGCCCTAGCCTATCGCCCTAGTCTTTCGCCCTCAGCCAGAACCAAACTGCAGCACCTTGTTTCATTTTTTAAAGATGTAAGAACTACTATTTATAAGTAGGGCCACCGAGGCCTTGGCGCGACAGCCCTAGGCGCGCCACCGAGGCATTGGCTCGTGGTATGCGCACGCTAGGGTATAGGCCTGGGCGTGCGTCCGTTTAGGCCTAGTCCCGCGATGCTGAGGGTTGTAGCCTTGTAGGGCGCTTGGTAACGCTTGATTAAGTTAAGCGCGCGCATTTGGGGGTGCGCGATCTTGCATTGCACATGGCAAAGTCCAAGGCAACGGCGGCTAGGCAAGGGGGGCCGGGGAGGGATCGTGTAGCGCGCACAGATGAGGCGGCGGGGGACCAGGGGGGTGTGAGTTCGAGGGCGAATGAGACCGATGGAGGTGGAGCCATGCCCCACATGCCTGTGGAGTGGACAGATTTCCTCCTCTCTCGGCAGGGGATGGGACGAGGGGGAGGGGGGGGGAGAGCCCAGGGGGAGGGGAGGAGGGTCAAGCGCGCACAAGCTCGCCGCAGCCGGGAGAGCGGTGGCGATGAGAGGGATGGGAGCGAGTCGGAGGAGCGGGAGAGCGGAAAATCTAGCGGCAGCGAGTATGAGGAGGAGGAAGAGGAGGAGGAGGATGATGAGCACGAGACGGAGGGTTTGGTGATGGAGGACGAGGACGAGGAGGAGGAGGAGGAGGAGGAGGGGGAGGGGGAGGGTCGGTCCAAGACGGGAACGGGTGGGAGTAGGGGGGGTGAGAGCGCCAGGGGGAAGAGGCAGCGTCAGGAAGGGAGTGGGGTTGGGCGACGGCCAGGGACAGGCGCAAAGGGGGGGAGGAGGGGCGGGGAGGAGGGGGGGGGGCCCGCTGCTCCGTCCGTCAGGTTTCAAGGCAGGGGAGGGCGTGCGGATGGGGCTGAGGAGGTGGACCCAGGCGTTGAGCAGGAGGGGAGAAGGAAAAGACAGAAAAATAACCGTAAGGTTGGAGCAAAGAGGAGCAACAAGCGTGTGGCAGAGTGTTTCTTGGGGAGCGAGAGAAAGCGAGTGTGCAAGATGTGCGAGAAGCCAATGGGCTTCAAGGACAGCCAGACCAGCACGGGTGCCAAGCATATGGCGAGACACCATCGCCCACACTGGGACATATGGCAGCGGCGCGTGGTCGAGGGTCTTGAGCCAGGAGAGTCATTTCCGATGGGGGGATACCCACATGTCCCTGATGGGAAGGCGCCCAACGAGTGGTCCAAGACTTGGCCGCACCCCCCCCCCGGCGCCACCATCCTGTCCCTGTCCTCGGCAGCGGCGGACACGAGGCAGCCCACGATGGACCGGTTCCTTGGCCCACGTGTGTCGGAGCCGCGTTTGCGTCAGGCGATCGTCGAGTTCATCGCCAGCACCGACAGCTCCTTTCGCATCGTAGAGGACCCCGCGGTAAGCGAGCCGCCCCACCAGCCCCCCCCCCCACACCCTTTCCTAAGCCTGTGGTCATTGTGTAACCCAACTTCCCCCCCCCACTTATAACCTACTGGATCTGCCCCACCAAAAGAAACACCCGCCCCACCACCACCTCCTCCCCCCCCCCCCATGCACGGCGCTAAACACTACCAAACCCCACACCCCCCCTCTCGTTTCGTTTTGGCAGTTCCGCCGCCTCTTGGCTGTATGCAACCCCCAATGCGGTGACGCAATCCCCATACCCGACCGGACCACCGTTTCCAGAGACCTCCGCTTCTACTCTGAGGCGGCACGGGCAGTGGTTAAGTCGGAGTTTGGGGAGGGTTCAGGGAGCGGGCGTGTCTCTTTCACAACGGACATATGGATCGGGGGTAACAGGCGGGGGTACATGACAGTGACGGCGCACTTCATTAGCAGGGATTTTCAGCTGCGCCAGTGTACACTGGAGTTTATGGAGCTGGAAGCGCGCCACACAGGGCGGCTGATTGCAGACGTCTTGGGCGAGTCATCAGGGAGTGGGAGCTCGTGGGGTTTTGCATGGGGGTGACGACGGATAACGCCAGCAGCAACACAGCCGCCATGCGTCGCCTCGCCGGTCTTGGTTGTCATGCGTTGGCCACGCCTCTCCTCGCAGATGGCATGCACTTCCGGTGAGTGCGTGGCGAGCTTGCAGCCCTTGTCTTGTCCACATAGTGTGCTACTGTTCAGACGATCCACACCTCCCCTCTCAATGGCATGGAGGGTCCTTAAGGATATCCCTCCCCCCTCTCCCCCCCCCCCTCTGTGCGCCTTCGTACATGCAGCTGCCTGGCGCACATCCTGAACCTTGCAGTCCAGCGTGCGCTGAAGTTGCCAGCGGTGAGGGTGCCGCTGAAGCTCCTACGCGACATTGCAACCTTTGTGGGATGGAGTGAGAGGCGCACGCGCGAATTTGAGGCGCAGCAGCGGTCCGATCCCGTCCTCAAAGGGACGGTTCTCCGCCTGGTGCAGGACAGCGAGGTTCGCTGGGGCAGCACGCACGAGATGGTCGCGCGTGCATTGAGGCTCCGCCGATCCCTCACTGCGCACTTTGCAGTGGAGCAGGTACCCTCTTTACAAAAGCCCACTCCACCGCTTCCATTGCGTGCGCGGATGCTCCTACGCGCCCCTTGTGTGACACTTCCTTCCATGCCGCCACACCCATTGTATCCCCACAACCCCCCCCCCCCCATGCACCCCTGCTCACTTCCCAGGGAGAGACGGCCGAAGAGCGCGCGAAGTACGTCGCGTTGCGACTGACCGACGCGCACTGGGACACGCTGGATGTCCTGGCGGAGTTCCTGGCACCGTTCAGTTCCATCACAGTGGCGGCCGAGGGCTCTTCCTACCCCACATCATCTGCTGTTGTGCCACAGTTCAACGAACTGATGGACACCTTGCAGGCATGGCCGTCACCCCGCCTCATCGGCCGTCAGCTCGTAGGCGTCGCCTTCCTCGTGCTGGAACGGTACTATTGCAGCAGCAGCGATGAGCTCGTGGTGGCGACGTTTCTGAACCCCGGCATGAGGCTGATGTTCTTCGAGGTGGATGGAGGGACGGACACCCGCTCTGGGGGAGAGGGAGAGGGGGCAAACGGGGTGGGCGTGGAAAGCGGACTAGCCGGGTCTTCACGCGCACTAGTTGTGCGTGCCGCTGGTGCGGGGGGGGGGGAGGAGGAGATGGGTTCAGAGAAGGGCGCAGAGGGGGAGGACGAGGAGGACGATGAGGACGAGGAGGATGAGGAGGGGGGAGAGGGGGAGGAGGGGGAGGAGGAGCAGCAGGGCAGGCCTGTGGCGAGCTTCAAGCTGTCAGAGGTGCTGACCCTTGTACGGGCACGCTTTGCTGAGTACAGTAAGCGGCTGAAGCAAGCGGCACAGCAACAGGACGGGGGCCGAGGGGGGGTAGGCTTGGGGGGGGGGGAGGTTGAGGGTGGAGATGCTAGTGGTGTACCAGTGCGGGGTGGCTTGAGCCAGTCTCTCCACGCCAAGCTGCTAGCGCGTTCCGCACGACGGGGGGCCACGATGCGGGATGAGGTGGATCGTTACATTGAGGGGGAGTTGCATGAGGGTTGCCCCTTGGCGTACTGGCGCGAGAGGTCTGATATGCCGGTGTTGCAGGCTATGGCCAGGGATTACCTGGCCATACCAGCAACATCGGCAGCTAGCGAGCGTGTGTTCAGTCAGAGCCGAAATGTGATCACCCGCCATAGGCAGAGGTTGTCTGGGGAGAGCGTGCGAGCCACTATGACACTCAAGTCATGGACTCGCACGCACCCTGGTGTCTCCCTGTTAAAGCCAGGGTGGATCAAAGAGACGGAGAAGCTCGGGGTGGAGGAGCTGTAGGCTGCGTGCTAAACCATGTGGTCGGGTGGTTGCTAGCTTGCGTCTGGTTGCGCTGAGAACATGCTGTTGGCAAAGGGGCACTATTTTAACTTCCATGGTACTACATTAAATTATTGTGACTTTTCAGCTCACCTAGGCTTGTACTGGCGCCCCAAACAGAGCAGCAGTAGATCACAATCACAATCTGGCACATCCCCTAGACTAGAGTCCCCAAAAACAGTGCGCCTTCTTGAGAGGTTACACAAGCCCCCCTGACGAGCCGAGCCGGGGATCCTGAGGTCCCGGCTCGACCCCAAACGAGCCGAGCCGAGCCAGGCTCGGCTCATGCCCATGTCTAATTGGGAGCCCAACCAATTTGGGAACCCAACAAGGTTGGGAACCCAACCCCCAACTTGGGTGTATACACCTTAGTGGGGTGCGTATAATTACCAAAGACAATGAAAAGTTGTAGGCTAATAGAATGAACGTAGAATATTCTAACAGCTTCTGCCCAGGTGAAACCCTGAGAGGCAATAAATCCCCATAATCGACAGCCCCAGACCCTGAGCATACCTCATGTGCTCTCTCCCTCAGCACCATGTGAGCTCCCAGGAGGGGGAAGAAGCGCGCCACCTTCCCCAGGCTTCTGGCCACCCTCTCTCCCAGTGAGATGTGCGCGATGACGTCATCCCTGGGGGGGGGGGCACGGCGAGGGGATGGGAGGGGGATGGCAGGGGATGGCAGGGGGACGGGAGGTGCACTTGCTGGAATGAGAGAGGGGCGCAGCGCAGGTGCAGGTCCTCGTTTGCTTTTGTGCAATGCATTCGCCGAGTGGGGTGTGAGCGGCAGTGGGAGGAGAGATGGAGAGGACAGGATGAGAGCCCAGTCAAATGGCTGAAGTTTCTTGGAAAGAACCAGATGAGAATTATTAACATTCTGAGATCCGCCATCACTGATGGACCACATCCACAGTGTGGCGTGTGGGCCCATAAGGGGTCTTTTTGAAAATGCTTAAACAGGCCCTTCATTTCCAAATGGGTCTCATCCACATCTTGGTGTGCGAGGGAATGCGCCCGGGGAGCAGGGGCGAAAGGGAAGGAAAGGAAGAAAGAAGGTAGGGAAGAGGGACGAGGGGCGAGGGACGAGGGACGGAAACAGGAGCAGGGAGGAAAGGGAAGAGGGAAGGGCGGGGGGCTTGTGGGTACCCAAGTTGCAACTCACGCTTGGGCAGTCAAGTGTTCAGCGTTAGAATGCTTGTTGCTCAAACGCTAGCATCAGGGAGGAACGCTAGACGTGCTTCTGCAACTTAGGTGCGCACTGCAGATCTCATCTCATCCACATAGTGGCGCGTGAGGGAGTGCGTCCAAGTCCAAGGAGCAGGGAAGGGAGGGGAAGAAAGGGAGGCAAGGGGACAGAGGGGAAGAAAGGAAGAGGGAGCAGGGAAGAATGCAGCAGAAAGCAGAGGGGACGGAGTGTGTGCATTTACCTGCCGTGGATGACAGCAGTGGGGATGTGCGCTCTGCAGATCTCATCCGCATCATGGCGCGAGAGGGAGCACGAGCAGGGATCAGGGAAAAAAGGGAGGAGGGACGGAAAGGGAGGAGGGAGGTACCTTCCTCCCCTGCAAGTACCTACCTGCCGTGAATGACGGCAGATGTGTGCACGGCAGATCTCATCCACATCATGGCGCACGAGGGAGTGCGTGGGGGAGCAGGGAGAGGAGGCGGGAGGCGAAGCGGGGGGTTGTACGGTGTACCTACCTGCCGTGGATGACGGCAGTGGGGATGTGCGCGCTGCAGATCTCATCCACATCATGGCGCGTGAGGGAGTGCGTCCAGCAGGCATTGAGATGGCCATTCGCCCCATGAGTCGTCTGCATGGCAGCTGGCACAGACAGGACCCGCACATACTCCTGGGAGAGAAGAAGGGCGGACAAGAGAGGGGGGTGGGGTGAGGGGCGTTGAACATGCGTTGAAAAGCCCATTCGACCCATGGGGCAACGGCATGGCAGCGGGCGCAGACAGGACCCGCACATACTCCTGTTCAGTGGATATGGGGGCATGGCATGGCATGGCATGGGATGGGGGGGGGGATGAAGCGTGAGGGAGTGCGTCCAGCAGGCATTGAGATGCCCACTCGCCCTGTGAGGCGTCTGCATGGCAGCGGGCGCAGACAGGACCCGCACATACTCCGCGGAGGATTGGAAGGGGGGATTGGAAGGGGGGATTGGAAGGGGGGATTGGAAGGGGGGATGGGAGGGGGGGATGGGAAGGGGGGCTGGGAAGGGGGGATGGGAGGGGGGGCTGGGGGGGGAGAGTGGGAGGGGGGATGGGAAGAGTGGGAGTGTGCCTAGCCCAGCATGCGTTGTCCACTCGCCCCGTGGGGCTTGTGCAGGGCAGCTGGCGCAGACAGGAGCCACACATACTCCTATGGGATGGCATGGCCGGATGGGATGGGGGGATGGGTTGGAAGGATGGGGGGGGGTTGGCGGAGGCGGGGGGGAGGCGAGGGGGAGGCGAGGGTGGGGGACAGATGACATGGCGGGGGTGGGGGACATATGACATGGCGGGGGTGGGGGACAGATGAAATGGCGGGGGTGAGGGACAGATGACATGGCGGGGGTGGGGGACAGATGACATGAGGGGGAATGGGGAGTGGAGTGGCAAACGTGACAATATCAACGAGTGAGGGAGTGGAAAATGGAAGAGGGGCATCAGGTGAAGAGAACGGAAAGAGTGGGAAGAGTGGAAAGTGGGAGTGGTGAAGAGAACGGAAAGAGGAGACACGGAGAAAAGGGAGGAAGAATGAATCTCAATACGCCCATTGCAGTCATTTTTTAGCATTCAGAAAGGAGTCAAATTTAATAACTCCTCTCAAAACGCGAATGTTCAATAATGACTCCATCAGACGCGGCGTGACCTTGGTACGTTCGCTTATGTATAATGTATGCACACTGCTTGTCACAGTGTGCACTGCACGCCATATACCTTGTGTAGAGCTTCTCTCCTTGCCACGCCAGCATCAATCTCTTCCATGTACTCCTGGTGGATGGGAGAAGTGAAAGGGAGTGAATGAAGGGGAGTGAAGGGGAGTGAAGGGGAGTGAAGGGAGTGAAAGAGAGTACAGGGGAGTGAAGGGGAGTGAAAGGGAGTACAGGGGAGTGAAGGGGAGTGAACAGGAGTGAAGGGGAGTGAACAGGAGTGAAGGGGAGTAATGCGAACACTTGCTTTTATTCCTTTACATAGCGAGCTGAGTTCTGAGATTGCACGAGCCCCAGCATCAACCTCCTCCATCCATCCCTGTATGCCTGAAACGACTAAAAGCAAACTGCAATGGACGTACAGAGCGAAGCATGCCGTGTGAGCCCCCCCAGGGGAAAAGTACATTTTTCAGCCGCCTAAAAAATGGACGCACAGAGCGCAGGGTGTGGAGTGGGAAAAGCGGCAACAACAAGGAGGCGAGTGCAATAACACACTCTAGATAGACGCGCTCGTCTCACTATAGCACCTATCGAACGAATTTACAGACAACTTGATAACAAGTGCTTGAGAACGAGTGAACACTTGGGTAGAGCTTCTCTCTGGTGTACGTATCTGTGAGAAGTGCGTATCCAGGGACACTTGAGCTCTCAGCTCCAATGAACTGAGAAGACGCAGATGAAGGTAACGGCTGGTGAAGGTAACGGCTGATGAAGGTAACGGCTGGTGAAGGTAACGGCTGATGAAGGTAACGGCTGATGAAGGTAACGGCTGATGAAGGTAACGGCTGATGAAGGTAACGCCTGGTGAAGGTAACGGCTGGTGAAGGTAACGGCTGATGAAGGTAACGGCTGATGAAGGTAACGGCTGATGAAGGTAACTGCTGATGAACTGGTCTTTCATGTACTCCTTTTTCATGTACTCGTTTTCCATGTACTCGTTATTCATGTACTCGTTATTCATGTACTCGTTATTCATGTACTTGTTTTCAGGCTTACCTGGGAGAAGTGGGTATCCAGGTCCACTTGAGCTCTCAGCTCCGGGGTTGTGGCGCTCATCATGCGATAGAAAATGGAGAATACCCGCGAGTCAAGCTGGTGTGGTGAGGGGACGGGGGGGGGGGGGGGGGGGGGGCGGGGGAGAGGGAATGTGGTACCTGGTACAACAGCGAGCAACAAAACGGAGACGCCTCAAATAAGCTCTCAGCTCCGGGGTTTCAGCGCTCATCGTGCGATTGAAAATGGAGAATACCCGCGAGTCAAGCTGAAGTGGTGGGGAAGGCAATAGCAGCACAGACAGGCACTTTAGAAGATTCCTCGAAGTATAACCCAATGAGGATGTTCTACACTTCGAGGCGTGGAGCTGCGCCCATCATGCAATTGGCGATGGAGAACTCTCACGAGTCAACCCAGAAATATTATTATTTTCCGTTGCAACGCTGCTGCCACCATGCGATTTTGCCCTTGGGCCGGTTATAGGGGCCAGGCCATGCGAACCTGATAGGTGCGACAGGTCCAACAAGTAGGTGCGAACCCGGGGGAGGTCAACAAGTAGGCTGCCAGCACTGTCTCAAAACAGGGGGTCAACACCCCCTCCAGAGTCCAGACTCATTTGACAGGAGATCGGGGCCACATCCGCGACTCGTTCGATAGGAGCTCGACCCCCCTTGAATAGTGATGACCGCCTCCTCCACTAGCGCTGGTGAGCGCAAGGGGGATGATTCTATGCGGCATTTGAGGAGCCTCAAAAATCGGAAAAAACAAATTGAGGCACCTCGAAGGATGATTCTGTCTGTGTGACCCGGCTCATGCATCGCAGGACGCCTTGAGGCGCCTCAAAAGTCGGCTCGTGCATCTCAGGGCGCTTTTGAGGCGCCTCAAAAGTCACCCTGCGAAATCAAGAGCGCAAGGGAGATGATGCTGTCTGTGCGACACTCCTCATGCAGGCAATCATACCTGGTCGGCTGGCAAGCGTGGCACATCAAAGCCATACCCGTGGCAGCAGGCCAAGCCATACCGGGGCAGAAGGTCAAAGCCATACCCGGGGCAGCAGGTCGAAGCCATACCCGAGGCAACAGGTCGAAGCCGCCCCCAGTAACACTTATGAGACCCAGAGAGATGATTCTGTGCGATGCTGCTGCAGCCACCTTGCATGCTATCATGCCGCCTGGAGCAATGGGGGGGAAGAGGGGAGGGGGAAGAGGGAGGGGGGGTGGGGGTTAATGTGGAGGGGGAGCAGAGGTTGATGAAGAAGATGGAAATTGACCGAATGATGAGTGCAAGAGAGGTGATTCTGTGCGACGCTGCTGCCGCCACCTTGCATGCTATCATGCCTCATGCGGCAACGAGAGGCGGGGAGCGGGGAAGGGGAAAATAAGGTGACTGGATCATAATTGAAGATTTATCAAGCTGTTACTGAGATTCTAAGGGGCAATACAGCCGCACAATCAGGCCCAAGGCTGTAAAACGGAGGAGGAATGGTGCTTATAGCCACACTATCAGGCCTGGCTGGCTGGGATTATAGTGAATGAATGAGAGAGACGCAACTGAGAGAGACGCAACTGAGAGGCAACTGAGAGGCAACTGGGACGCAAGTGAGATGCAACTGAGAGGCAACTGAGAGGCAACTGAGAGGCAACTGAGAGGCAACTGGAACTCAAGTGAGACGCAACTGAGAGGCAACTGAGAGGCAACTGGGACGCAAGTGAGATGCAACTGAGAGGCAACTGAGAGGCAACTGAGAGGCAACTGAGAGGCAACTGGAACGCAAGTGAGGCGCAACTGAGATGCAACTGAGAGGCAACTGAGAGGCAACTGAGAGGCAACTGAGAGGCAACTGAGAGGCAACTGGGACGCAAGTGAGACGCAAATGAGAGGCAACTGAGACGCAACTGAGAGGCAACTGAGAGGCAACTGGAACGCAAGTGAGACACAACTGAGATGCAACTGAGAGGCAACTGAGAGGCAACTGGGACGCAAGTGAGACGCAACTGAGATGCAACTGAGAGGCAACTGAGAGGCAACTGAGAGGCAACTGAGAGGCGACTGGGACGCAAGTGAGACGCAACTGGGATGCAACTGAGAGGCAACTGAGAGGCAACTGAGAGGCAACTGAGATGCAACTGAGAGGCAACTGAGACGCAACGGAGACGCAACTGAGAGGCAACTGGAACTCAAGTGAGACGCAACTGAGACGCAACTGAGAGGCAACTGAGAGGCAACTGAGACGCAACTGAGACGCAACTGAGACGCAACCGGTACGCAAGTGAGACGCAAGTGAGACGCAAGTGGGACACAACTGATACGCAACTGAGAGGCAACGGAGACGCAACCAGGGCGCAAGTGAGACGCAAGTGAGACGCAACTGAGACGCAACTGAGACGCAACTGAGACGCAACCGGTACGCAAGTGAGACGCAACTGAGACGCAACTGAGACGCAACTGAGACGCAACTGAGACGCAACCGGTACGCAAGTGAGACGCAACTGAGACGCAGCTGAGACGCAACTGAGACGCAAGTGAGACGCAAGTGAGACGCAAGTGAGACGCAAGTGAGACGCAAGTGAGACGCAAGTGAGAGCAAGCACAAAAAGAAGAAACACTAAAAGAAGAAACACTAAAAGAAGAAACACTAAAAGAAGAAACACTAAAAGAAGAAACACTAAAAGAAGAAACACTAAAAGAAGAAACACTAAAAGAGTTCTCAAGCAACCAGGCAGCCAGGCCAGGCCAGGACATGTGACCAAGAGAAGGGAGATGAGATGACATGGAACTGACCCATGGAGTGGCCCACGAGATGAAACCTGGTCCAGCCAAGATTATCCGCAAGGAACAGAGCATCTGCTGCCATTGCCTCCGTGCTGAGTATGAGTGGGGAGGGAGAAGGAGGGGGGGGGGGGAAAGAGGAGAGAGGGGGGAGAGTAGGGGGGAGAGGAGAGAGGGGAGAGGGGGAGAGAAAGATGACACGACGGGAGGGGAAGGGAGAGGAGGGGAGGGGAGGGGAGGGAAGGGAACGGGAGGGGAGGGGAGAGGAGGGGAGGGGAGGGGAGGGAAGGGAACGGGAGGGGAGGGGAAATGAGGCAAGATACACAACACATGATCCGCGGATGTGATGGGGGGGAGGAGAGGTGGGGGAGAGCGAGTGAGAATATAGAATATCTTGAATGAAAGCAGATGATGTGCGTCAAAGCAGAGCCTCGACTGCCATGATCTCTCCGAGCTGACTGGCTGACAGGGAGACGAGGGGGGGATGGGGAAAAGGAAATGGGAGAGATAAGGGAAAATGTATCTCCGAGGTGACTTTTGAGTCGACTCAAAAGGCACCTCGAAATGGGAGAAATGAGGAAAAATGGGAGAAATGAGGAAAAATAGATCTCCAAATGTAACGATAACGATTGTCTACACAAGGAAACGAGGATGTCATCTGCCTACCTTCTGGACAGTACACTTGCTAGCCAATAATCCAGAGAGCTACTGTAGCAAACGAGCTACTGAGACTAACTCACGTGTGCTCATTAGGATCTGTAGGCGTGTGCCATAACCTTAAACAAACCCTGTATTAATTAGGATCTGTTTTTGTCAAAGTTGCACCCCTCCCTCCCCCCCTCCCAGTCCACCTGCTGCCGCCTCTTCTCCTGAGACAAGAGGAGCCGCCAGAGAGTGGAAGCTGCTATCGAGAAGCGTCGTGTAGGGTAGAGTCGTGTAGGGTACTCACGTGTATTCATTAGGATCTGTAGGGCACGAGCTGTGGCCCACGCCCCGGTTGTCAAAGATGCACACCTCCCTCCCTGTCCACATGCTGCCCCCTCTCCCCTCCTCTCCTCTCTCCTCCTCTCCTCTTTCCTCCCCTCCTCTCTCCCCCACCTCGCCCTCCCTTCCAGTGCACCTCCCATTCCCTCCTTCCCCTCCTCTCATCTCCTCTCTCCCTTCTTCCCCTCCTCTCATCTCCTCTCTCCCTTCTTCCCCTCCTCTCACCTCCTCCCCCCCCTCATCCTCTCCTCGCCTTTCTCGCAGCTCCCTTTCTTCCCCACTCTCTTCACTGCTTCGTTTCCTCTCCGCTCCTTCCCCTTCCACCTCCCCCCCTCCATTCCCTTCCCTGCTCCCCTCCCAGCCATCCTCTCCACTCTCCCTCTCCTCTCCACCACTCTCCTTCTCCCCGCCGTCTCCCTTCTCTACCTCCTCTCCCTCCTCTCCCTGATCTCCCTGCTCTCCCTGCGCCCCGTGCTGGCGCGCTCGACTGTTGGGGGTATCAGTGCCCGCTAGGGCCTTCACCTGGAACAGCCACGCAGCATGACCAGAGGCGAATCCTGGGGAAGAGAGATGGGGGGAGGGGGGAGTGTGAGGCTGGGCACAGCCAGAGTAGCTGGGTCTGCCACGCACCACGGCCAGAGGCAAAACCCGTGAGTAGGCCAAAAACATGGGCAGCCAGGGGAGAGGCGCGAGGTGGGGGGGGTGGGGGGGGGGGGAATATGAGAGGCAAATGATGCAACGCACGCAGCAGAACAGATAACAGGAAGCGTCGGTCTGATGTACAAGCACCCATCATCATAATCACTCCCAATCCACGCCCCCCATGATCATACGCATTTTCAATACACACACCCATGATCATACGCACTTTCAATACACGCACCCATGATCATACGCACTTTCAATACACACACCCATGATCATACGCACTTTCAATACACGCACCCATGATCATACGCACTTTCAATACACGCACCCATGATCATTCGCACGTTCAATACACACACCCATGATCATACGCACTTTCAATACATGCACCCATGATCATACGCACTTTCAATACACGCACCCATGATCATACGCACTTTCAATACACGCACCCATGATCATTCGCACGTTCAATACACACACCCATGATCATACGCACTTTCAATACATGCACCATGATCATACGCACTTTCAATACACGCACCCATGATCATTCGCACGTTCAATACACGCACCCATGATCATACGCACTTTCAATACACGCACCCATGATCATACGCACTTTCAATACACGCACCCATGATCATACGCACTTTCAATACACGCACCCACACTTTCAAATTTCAATACACGCACCCATGATCATACGCACTTCCAATACACGCACGCATAATCATACGCATTTTCAACACACGCACCCATGATCAAACGCACTTCCGATACACGCACCCATGATCAAACGCACTTCCATAACCCCCTCAATCCCAGTGGTCAAACACAGCCTCAAACACTCAAACCTTCTGCTGCGCGCACCCATGATCATGAGCACTTTCGTGTCTCCATGGCCGTACGTCTCGTAGAATATCCTCACTTTCCCGCCATCTCCGCCGCCATTCCCGCCGTTATTCCCGCCGCTATTCGCGCCGCCATTCCCACTGCCGTTTCCGGCTGCTCTCTCTCCGCTTTCCGCGGCGCCTGATCCGCCGTCTCCCCCGGAGCTCTGGCCGTCTTTGTGGCGATGGTGGTTGGGCACTACGCAGTACGGCATGTCGTCACGTGGCCGTCAAGCCGCTCGGCCGGCAAGCCGCTTGGCCGTCAAGCCTCTCAGCAGTCAAAGCCGCTCGGCCGTCAAGCCGCTTGGCCGTCAAGCCCAAAGGTACAACCTTTAGGGTCGTAAATGTCTGAGCCGACTCTCAAACACCTGGAAGGTGGTACGAGCGGTGACGGATGGTGACGTGTGGTGACGAGTGGTGACGTGGCTGTGGAGAACACTGTACCGTCTTATGCGGGGATGCAACGTCCTTATGCGCCGTCTAACGGGGGGCTGCAGGATCTGGCTACCACCCTAACACAATGCACAATCCAAGATTCTCCTTGGGACGGAAACACTAGCATAGCTACGGAGAAACGACCTGTGCTTATGGTCGCTAGGGTAGTGGCAGACGCCAAGGTGAGTCATGAAGGTCCAGTTCGCCTAGGTTGCACCTTCGCGTTTGGAACGGGTTCGCTGAGTTTTGAAACGGTTGAGTCAGGTGCTTCGAGCTGATGAGCTTCCCTGACAAGCCCTAGGGCGAAGGTCCTCGTCCTCGTCATTAGCCCACGATAAACAAGTGAATAGGGGTAAGAGGTAACAAGTGACTGTAGACTGTTGGCGCACTATAAACAGTTTGTAGGTTGAAGGCTTAAGGTAAACCATCAAGCAAAAATATGTATCCATATGAGATAAAAATTGTTCACGGAATTGGATGGAACCCAACGCAAAAAATCGGACTCATACTCTCATATGGATATTCTAAAAATCATCTGAGTCGCTGTCCCTACCACTTCTCGTGCCACTCTGAGTCCCTCCATCCTTCCCCTTCCCCCAGTTCGCCACAGGAGACTGCCCGAAAATCGGAGTCAAATAAGTTCCAGCTGCCCCAGCGAGAAAACCCGCCCCATTCTTCAACAACGGCTCCAAATCGTCCGTTCGGGCAGTTATGGGCAGCAGCGAAAAGGCCACAAGCAGCAGCAGCCACAGCGGGGAAAAAAGTAGCACCCACTGCCAACTAGCCTCCACCTTCCCGGAAGGTTCCAGGCGGGCGGCGAAACCAAAAACCAACCCACCAAGGATGGCGGTGGAGAGGGTGAGGAAGTAGAGGTCGTCCACTAGGCCGGGCACGTTGCTGCAGCCGGCGGGCTTTAAGAGGCATGTCTGCAGCGTGGACACAGCCTGCTGGAGGGCCCTGGTGTCGCCCTGCTCGGCCACATAGAACTGGTTTCCGAAGCTGGAGGCAGGGGGGGAGAAAGGGGGAGGAAGGATGAGGCACAGCACGTTCGAGAGGCAGGCTTGCACTGTGGAGACGGCCTACTGCAAGGCTCTGGCGTCGCCCTGCTCTGCCACATAGAACTGGTTTCCGAAGCTGGACGCAGGGGGGAGAAAGGGGGGGGGAAGTGGGGAGAAGGGGGCGGGGGGGTTGGGGGGTGGGGTTGATGAGGCATGGCACACTTAAGAGGCAGGCTTGCAGCATGGAGACGGCCTGCTACAGGGCTCTGGTGTCGCCCTGCTCTGCCCCGTAGAACTGGTTTCCGAAACTGGAGGCATTTTATATGTGTGGAAGTGGGGTGAGGGTTGAAAGACGGGTGAGGGAAGGCAGGAGAAAGCTGGAAGGGTGAGGGATGGATGCAGGCCAGGTGAGGGATGCATGCTGTCGTGCTTCTCCCTCTTCTCCCCTTTCTTCTGAACTATCCTTCCTCCCTGCCCTCCTTCTTCCATTGTCCATTCCTTCTCTGGTAGGTAATGACTGCTGCTGTGGGACCAAGCGCCCTTTGTTACAAGCCTCTTCCTGGCTGCTCAGATCCACTTAGGACTGAATTCCCGTACTGCTGGACTCTAGTAGGCGTAGAGTGTAATTGCAGTATAGTAGGAAAACATACAAGCGAGAAACGATAAGCCTACTGAGTCTCGATCTATTTACACTTCACTTTCCCCTGCTCCCTTGCCTACCTCCCTTCCTTCCCTTGGGAACTGAGATTCCCTGGTCCCTACCCTTCGTCAGATGGGGCTATTGCTGACGTCCCTCCCCCCCCCACCTCATCCTTGCTTGCGCCTCGAAATTGTAAGGTCCCATTATCCCCGCGCCTCGATCCCTGAGCTCCTTCATACTTTGTACAGTACAGTACTGTACCTCTCTCTCCCGTATTTTGTATTTCAATTATGCATGCCAACTCTTTCTTCTCATAATACTCTGCTCCACTCACCTCTTCCCCTGCTGCTGTGTTAACCGTGGGGAGGCTCATGCCTCTCCACGGGTAACGCGACAATGCAAGTCAGGCGAGGGATGCAGGCAGGCCAGGTGAGGGATGCATGCAAGTCAGGTGAGGGATGCATGCAGGTCAGGTGAGGGATGCATGCAGGCCAGGTGAGGGATGCATGCAGGTCAGGCGAGGGATGCATGCAGGCCAGGTGAGGGATGCATGCAAGTCAGGCGAGGGATGCATGCAGGTCAGGTGAGGGATGCATGCAGGTCAGGTGGGGATGCATGCAGGTCAGGCGAGGGATGCATGCAGGTCAGGCGAGGGATGCATGCAAGTCAGGCGAGGGATCCATGCAGGCCAGGCGAGGGATGCATGCAAGTCAGGCGAGGGATCCATGCAGGTCAGGTGAGGGATGCATGCAGGCCAGGTGAGGGATGCATGCAGGTCAGGTGGGCATGCATGCAAGTCAGGCGAGGGATGCATGCAGGTCAGGTGAGGGATGCATGCAGGCCAGGTGAGGGATGCATGCAGGTCAGGCGAGGGATGCATGCAGGCCAGGTGAGGGATGCATGTAAGTCAGGCGAGGGATGCATGCAGGTCAGGCGAGGGATGCATGCAAGTCAGGTGGGGATGCATGCAGGTCAGGCGAGGGATCCATGCAGGCCAGGCGAGGGATGCATGCAAGTCAGGCGAGGGATGCATGCAGGTCAGGTGAGGGATGCATGCAGGCCAGGCGAGGGATGCATGCAAGTCAGGCGAGGGATGCATGCAAGTCAGGCGAGGGATGCATGCAGGTCAGGTGAGGGATGCATGCAGGCCAGGTGAGGGATGCATGCAGGTCAGGCGAGGGATGCATGCAAGTCAGGCGAGGGATGCATGCAGGTCAGGTGAGGGATGCATGCAGGTCAGGCGAGGGATGCATGCAGGTCAGGTGAGGGATGCATGCAGGCCAGGCGAGGGATGCATGCAAGTCAGGCGAGGGATGCATGCAAGTCAGGCGAGGGATCCATGCAGGCCAGGCGAGGGATGCATGCAAGTCAGGCGAGGGATGCATGCAGGTCAGGTGAGGGATGCATGCAGGCCAGGCGAGGGATGCATGCAAGTCAGGCGAGGGATGCATGCAAGTCAGGCGAGGGATGCATGCAAGTCAGGCGAGGGATGCATGCAGGTCAGGTGAGGGATGCATGCAGGCCAGGTGAGGGATGCATGCAAGTCAGGCGAGGGATGCATGCAGGTCAGGTGAGGGATGCATGCAGGTCAGGCGAGGGATGCATGCAGGTCAGGTGAGGGATGCATGCAGGCCAGGCGAGGGATGCATGCAAGTCAGGCGAGGGATGCATGCAAGTCAGGCGAGGGATCCATGCAGGCCAGGCGAGGGATGCATGCAAGTCAGGCGAGGGATGCATGCAGGTCAGGTGAGGGATGCATGCAGGCCAGGCGAGGGATGCATGCAAGTCAGGCGAGGGATGCATGCAAGTCAGGCGAGGGATGCATGCAGGTCAGGTGAGGGATGCATGCAGGCCAGGTGAGGGATGCATGCAGGTCAGGCGAGGGATGCATGCAAGTCAGGCGAGGGATGCATGCAGGTCAGGTGAGGGATGCATGCAGGTCAGGCGAGGGATGCATGCAGGTCAGGTGAGGGATGCATGCAGGCCAGGCGAGGGATGCATGCAAGTCAGGCGAGGGATGCATGCAAGTCAGGCGAGGGATCCATGCAGGCCAGGCGAGGGATGCATGCAAGTCAGGCGAGGGATGCATGCAGGTCAGGTGAGGGATGCATGCAGGCCAGGCGAGGGATGCATGCAAGTCAGGCGAGGGATGCATGCAAGTCAGGCGAGGGATGCATGCAGGTCAGGTGAGGGATGCATGCAGGCCAGGTGAGGGATGCATGCAAGTCAGGCGAGGGATGCATGCAGGTCAGGTGAGGGATGCAAGCAGGTCAGGTGAGGGATGCATGCAGGTCAGGCGAGGGATGCAAGCAAGTCAGGCGAGGGATGCATGCAGGTCAGGTGAGGGATGCATGCCAAGTCAGGTGAGGGATGCATGCAGGTCAGGTGAGGGATGCATGCAGGTCAGGAGAGGGATGGATGCAGGTCAGGCGAGGGATGCATGCAGGTCAGGTGAAGGATGCATGCAAGTCAGGCGAGGGATGCATGCAGGTCAGGTGAGGGATGCAAGCAGGTCAGGTGAGGGATGCATGCAGGTCAGGCGAGGGATGCAAGCAAGTCAGGCGAGGGATGCATGCAGGTCAGGTGAGGGATGCATGCAAGTCAGGTGAGGGATGCATGCAGGTCAGGTGAGGGATGCATGCAGGTCAGGTGAGGGATGCATGCAGGTCAGGCGAGGGATGCATGCAGGTCAGGTGAAGGATGCATGCAAGTCAGGCGAGGGATGCATGCAAGTCAGGCGAGGGATGCATGCAGGTCAGGTGAGGGATGCATGCAGGCCAGGTGAGGGATGCATGCAAGTCAGGCGAGGGATGCATGCAGGTCAGGTGAGGGATGCATGCAGGTCAGGCGAGGGATGCATGCAGGTCAGGTGAGGGATGCATGCAGGCCAGGCGAGGGATGCATGCAGGCCAGGCGAGGGATGCATGCAAGTCAGGCGAGGGATCCATGCAGGCCAGGCGAGGGATGCATGCAAGTCAGGCGAGGGATGCATGCAGGTCAGGCGAGGGATGCATGCAAGTCAGGCGAGGGATGCATGCAGGTCAGGTGAGGGATGCATGCAGGTCAGGTGAGGGATGCATGCAGGTCAGGCGAGGGATGAATGCAGGTCAGGTGAAGGATGCATGCAAGTCAGGCGAGGGATGCATGCAAGTCAGGCGAGGGATGCATGCAGGTCAGGTGAGGGATGCATGCAGGCCAGGTGAGGGATGCATGCAAGTCAGGCGAGGGATGCATGCAGGTCAGGTGAGGGATGCATGCAGATCAGGCGAGGGATGCATGCAGGTCAGGTGAGGGATGCATGCAGGCCAGGCGAGGGATGCATGCAAGTCAGGCGAGGGATGCATGCAAGTCAGGCGAGGGATCCATGCAGGTCAGGCGAGGGATGCATGCAGGTCAGGCGAGGGATGCATGCAAGTCAGGCGAGGGATCCATGCAGGCCAGGCGAGGGATGCATGCAAGTCAGGCGAGGGATCCATGCAGGTCAGGTGAGGGATGCATGCAGGCCAGGTGAGGGATGCATGCAGGTCAGGTGGGCATGCATGCAAGTCAGGCGAGGGATGCATGCAGGTCAGGTGAGGGATGCATGCAGGCCAGGTGAGGGATGCATGCAGGTCAGGCGAGGGATGCATGCAGGCCAGGTGAGGGATGCATGTAAGTCAGGCGAGGGATGCATGCAGGTCAGGTGAGGGATGCATGCAGGTCAGGCGAGGGATGCATGCAGGTCAGGCGAGGGATGCATGCAAGTCAGGCGAGGGATCCATGCAGGCCAGGCGAGGGATGCATGCAAGTCAGGCGAGGGATCCATGCAGGTCAGGTGAGGGATGCATGCAGGCCAGGTGAGGGATGCATGCAAGTCAGGCGAGGGATGCATGCAGGTCAGGTGAGGGATGCATGCAAGTCAGGTGAGGGATGCATGCAGGTCAGGTGAGGGATGCATGCAGGTCAGGCGAGGGATGCATGCAAGTCAGGCGAGGGATCCATGCAGGCCAGGCGAGGGATGCATGCAAGTCAGGCGAGGGATCCATGCAGGTCAGGTGAGGGATGCATGCAGGCCAGGCGAGGGATGCATGCAAGTCAGGCGAGGGATGCATGCAAGTCAGGCGAGGGATGCATGCAGGTCAGGTGAGGGATGCATGCAGGCCAGGTGAGGGATGCATGCAAGTCAGGCGAGGGATGCATGCAGGTCAGGTGAGGGATGCATGCAGGTCAGGCGAGGGATGCATGCAGGTCAGGTGAGGGATGCATGCAGGCCAGGCGAGGGATGCATGCAAGTCAGGCGAGGGATGCATGCAAGTCAGGCGAGGGATCCATGCAGGCCAGGCGAGGGATGCATGCAAGTCAGGCGAGGGATGCATGCAGGTCAGGTGAGGGATGCATGCAGGCCAGGCGAGGGATGCATGCAAGTCAGGCGAGGGATGCATGCAAGTCAGGCGAGGGATGCATGCAGGTCAGGTGAGGGATGCATGCAGGCCAGGTGAGGGATGCATGCAAGTCAGGCGAGGGATGCATGCAGGTCAGGTGAGGGATGCAAGCAGGTCAGGTGAGGGATGCATGCAGGTCAGGCGAGGGATGCAAGCAAGTCAGGCGAGGGATGCATGCAGGTCAGGTGAGGGATGCATGCAAGTCAGGTGAGGGATGCATGCAGGTCAGGTGAGGGATGCATGCAGGTCAGGTGAGGGATGCATGCAGGTCAGGCGAGGGATGCATGCAGGTCAGGTGAAGGATGCATGCAAGTCAGGCGAGGGATGCATGCAAGTCAGGCGAGGGATGCATGCAGGTCAGGTGAGGGATGCATGCAGGCCAGGTGAGGGATGCATGCAAGTCAGGCGAGGGATGCATGCAGGTCAGGTGAGGGATGCATGCAGGTCAGGCGAGGGATGCATGCAGGTCAGGTGAGGGATGCATGCAGGCCAGGCGAGGGATGCATGCAAGTCAGGCGAGGGATGCATGCAAGTCAGGCGAGGGATCCATGCAGGCCAGGCGAGGGATGCATGCAAGTCAGGCGAGGGATGCATGCAGGTCAGGTGAGGGATGCATGCAGGCCAGGTGAGGGATGCATGCAGGTCAGGCGAGGGATGCATGCAAGTCAGGTGAGGGATGCATGCAGGTCAGGTGAGGGATGCAAGCAGGTCAGGTGAGGGATGCATGCAGGTCAGGCGAGGGATGCATGCAGGTCAGGTGAAGGATGCATGCAAGTCAGGCGAGGGATGCATGCAAGTCAGGCGAGGGATGCATGGAGGTCAGGTGAGGGATGCGAGTCGGGCAAAAAAATGCAATATTCTGAGTGTCCTTTCCGAGACAGAGCATGAGCGGGGATGGGAATAAGAAAGGAGGAAGGGTGGGGGACGGGGGGGGGGAAGGGGAAGGGGGGGGGGGAGGGAAGGTTGGAGGGTGGGGGGAAGAGGGAGGAGGGGCGGGGTAGAAGGGACTAGTGCCCTACCGAGATTGTAGCTCGATGAAGAACTGTCGTGGAAGCTTCTCTCTCACAGTATCCCCAGCAAAGAAGTTAAGGATGTTGGGCGATGTGACGTCCACCACCACCACTACCGTTCGGTCGTCAGGCTGTGAGGAAGGAAAGTACAGAAATGGGGGCAGGAGGGTGGGATACATAAGGTACAAGAGGGCCACGCAAAGAAGTTGGTGGTGTTCGGCGATGTGACGTCTACCACCACCACTACCTCTCTGTGTATCCATGTATGCCATGAGGACACACAGAAATGTCGGAGAGGAGGGGATACACACGAGGCGTGCATGGGATGTTGGGCGATGTGTCATCCACCACCACCACTACTGTTTGGTCGTGTTCGCTCGCTCTGACGTCACCTGACTAAAGGCTGAGAGGAAGGTAAGTGCAGAGACGGGGCGGCGAAGGTGGGACACGTTAAGGTACAAGGGAGACACGCAAAGAAGTTGAGGTGTTAAGCGATGTGGCGTCCACAACCACCACTAGCATTCGGCCGCCAGGCTGACAAGCAAGTGTGAAGCACAGATGAGAAATGTACAAGAGTAGATGGGCCGATGTGACCGATGTGACACTTGAGTAGATGGGGGGAACAAAAGTTGAAAAAGTACGGCGATGTTGCATCCACCGCCATGACTACTGCTCGCTCTTCAGGGTGACATAATGACACACAGACATGTCGGAGAGAAGGAGAGGATACACATGAGACGTGCATGGGATGTTGGGTGATATGACGTCCACCACCACGACTACCGTTCGGTCGTCAGGCTGAGAGGGATCCACAGGAGATGAGGACAGCAGGTAAATTTTATCTTAAATGTTAACGTAAGGAACCAACTCAAGATAGAATCGAGGTGTGCAGTGGCAGGTGTCATGTCTGGGACCTGGGTGGCGTGACGTCCACTACGTTTGGTCGGCAGGCTGAGAGAGAGGGATGCACAGGAGATAAGGACAGGGAGGTAAGACAGAATTGGGGCGTGCAGTGGCAGGTGCCATGCCTGGGACCTGGGTGGTGTGGTGTGACGTCCACTACCACCACTACTCAATCATTGGGCTGAAGGCATACGCCACAGCAGGCATGTACGGATTCGGGAGACAGTTATGTGACGGGTATGAGAGACATTCAGGATGTTGGATGGTGCGACGCACACCACTACCACCACTAGGGTTGGGTCGTCAGGCTGAGAGGGACGAGACGTGCATCCTGATGGAGGGGGAAGGAGGTAGAGATACTCGAGACACATGCGAAGATGTCCACTTCATCACGCGTAAAGGTTCGTGCATCCATGACGTCACATGCCAAATTTAGCTCTTCCCCCTCTCCCCCTCTCCCCTTCACCTGGCCCATTACACGTGGAGCTACTGCTTCGAACTGCTCAGGCGCGTAACGAGTGGGCACCCGCAAGCACCACCCATACCTTTTTTCTCCGTGCTTCCTCACCCCACTTCCCTTACCATCCATACGTACCTTTCCCTCGTCGACCTCCCCCTTCCCCCTTCCCCCCACCCCTCCCCTTCCGCCTCCTTTTCCTGCCACATTGCACGTGGGGCCTCCTGTTCGAACTGCTGAGGCGCATACCGAGTGAACACCCTCAAGCGCCACATGTACCTTCCCTCTCCAGGTATCCCCCCTCCCTCTTCCCTTACCATCCATACCCCACTGTCTTCGTCCCCGTTCTTCCCTTCCCTTACCTGCCAAATTGCTCGCAGAGCCTCTGTTTCGAACTGCTCAGGCGCATATCGAGTCAGCACACGCATACGCCAACCATTCTCCCTCTCCAGGGCCTCCAGCTGACCAATCAGAGCCTCCCGTTTCCCGCCGCCCAGCAGCTGCGCTCCGTCAATCACAGGGCTCGCTGTTGCCAGGCTGTCAGATGCGGATTGGCCTGCAGCGAAGGCCATATCTGGTGCAGGCTCAGCTGCAGCTGAGATTTCTGCAATCTGAGCGAGGGGTCCTGAGAGTGAAGAAGCTAGAATTTCATGACTGTCCCATGTCGCCGCGCCTGGGGAAAGTGGAGCGGAAAGAGTGGATGATACTGCTGATCCTGCTACTGAAAGTACAGCTGGCCCTCCTGCTGCTGCGGAAGCGTCTAAGGGAAAGGACAAGAGGGTGATAGCGGAGGCTGTGGTCACGAGGAAGGAAGCGGCGACATTCTTGAACTGTCGCAGGATGTCGGCGACGCATTCCCCCGCTGTCACTTCGCAAGCAGCGGTCGAAGGCGACGGTAATATAGTAAAGAGTTGTGACTTGGAATGGATGCCGTGCGAAGGTACATTCTCCGGCAAGTGCTGCGTCTGGCGCGCTTGAGCAGCAACCGCAATGTTGGGCTTCGCGAATTCACTGCTGATGGGCTGCGAACGAGTATGGTTTGGTGCGAAACGGGTAACAAGGTTGGATGAAAGTGAGCGGCGAGTGCACGGCTTGCCCCGGCAAATGCGATGGCCGTGCAGTGAAGATAACAGTTGCCATCTAGCTGTCTCGACTGACGGCAGTAGGACAGCCATGGCAGCCGCGATATGACTGGTAGCGGCTCTACGCTCTTGAGCTGATGTTGTGACAGCTGTAATGGCGGCTTCATAAGTTGCTCACCCCTCTAATGCCTCAACTCGACGCAGTACCACCACATACTGTAAGAAACACTACATGAAGTCCGCCATAACTTTTCGATCATTTCAGGGCATGCAATGACAATTATGATCCCAAGCAATGTGCTGTAAGCAACCACTAGAGATCTTCAATTTGCTAGGGTGAATACAAGAAAAGATGTGACCGGCAGGACACAGCACCATTGTCACATTCAAGGTAACATTCCCCCTAAACCCAAGAAAAGAAGCTGGCCCCCTAAAATATTCTAGTAACCAGGCCTGGCGTGAATCCACAATCCACAACCTGTCAACCACACCATCCACACAGCCGAGCATCATCTTCCCTGGTAAGCTTGGAGCTGCCGACGAAGCTCATCGTTCTCCTTTCGCATCTTCATCATTCTCTGCTTGATGGCATCAGCATGCCTGTTTGGCACTGCTTCACGGCTTTGTTCTTCCATTTTCTGCCTGAATTCCTTCAATTGTTCTTGCAACTGATTCTCCGCCAGCGAAGCTGTAGAGAATTGAAACGCTCAAGCATGTACTCAACACAGCATCAAAGGGACAGAAATGGTTAAGATGGCTTCGACGACTCACTTTTATACTCAGCCATTGAGAGAGCCTTTTCCAGAGACTTCCGTCTTATCTCTTGGTCGTGAAGCTGATTTCTGAGGTTAGCCAATTCACCCTCATCTGTAATGACGGATTATCATTGACAGGTTGCACCCAAACGGTCAACAAGTGCCATGGTAAGTTAACTTACACTTCACCCTCTGTGAAAACGCTGATTCTTTAAGTTGCATCTTTTCATGCTCGTTTTCACCACTCTGCTGCTCCAACCTCTCCTCGAGAGTGACCACCGTGGCCCATGCCTCTGAGATCTCCTTTTCCAGACTCCTGAAACAACGACTTATGAACATCGTCGCTGGAGAGCCGGACACGGAAACTATATTTTCTTACCGTATTCGGGCTTCAGATATATTTTTAGCTTGCGCTGCCCTGTCATCCACGCTGTTAAGGGCACCTTTCAATTCCTGGGACATAAATTATGGCATAAGACACTTCAGCAGACAAAAATGGTGTCACGCAATGCATCGCTTACCTCCAGCTTCAACTCGTATTCCTTCTGCTGATTCTTTAGCCGATCTTCAGCTTCCTCATACATTTTGCGATATTGGAACTGGACGTATCAAAAGTGTCATGATTGAATCCGCAGAAGAGAGCATGAAATTGTCGGGTAACAACTAACCTGTTGCTGGATAGTTTCAAGTTCAGTTTGACGAAGCGAACGTAACCTTTCCACTTCTGTCGGAAGTAAAAGGTCAGGAAATAATCACAGGAAGTAACCATCAGCGAAACAATACCGTTCCGCTTACCATTTTGCAATGACAGCTCACGCTGTTCGGCCGCTTCTCTCCTGTACTCAGATGAAGCTAAGGCTGAGCGCAAGTATTCGAGTTCAGACTGGCCCTTCTTAATCTCCTGGCAATGCGAAATGCCGTAGGTTAACAACAAGACCTAGTGCCGTCTTAGAAAGGTAATAAGAACACATACGATTTCGACAAGGCGAAGCTCCCCATGGACAGCACTGATGCTTTCACGCAACATTGGATATCCTGGGGAAAGTGAAGGTGAGGTAGGAATGTGGGCAAGCAGGCATGCTCGAGGGATTGCTGACACATCTAGCAGACGGTGGGAGCCCGCCTGCTGTGCAGCTGGTTTCTCGGCGTTCATTTGGAAGAAGCTCGATATAGCACTGCAATTTCATGTTACTCTCTAAGATTCTATTGTGATATCCCAACCAAGCTTACAAGCATACCGTACATCCGATTGGGTTACAATCATGCATTGTGTAAGGAATTCTCCAATTCTTACTGAGCCGTACTGCTATCGCGTACACTTGAAAACACCCGAAGCCTCGGTTCAGTTCCGGACCTTTCTGACAGAATCACCTCGGCTTCTCCATAACTTCTAGTTCGACATTTCGAGACCCTTCGATCTCCTTCCCCAAACATCTCACGACTAGGTTAGCTCTGGTGTTCCTATATCTTGGCTTGCCCTTCCTTGTATCGTCATTCAGGGGCCAACTTCAATTTCACTCACAACGACCAGTGCATGAATTCAATGTGGCTCACTTTTGCAAGTTAGCGTTAACACATAGCACAATCATGTTAAAACTAGAATGAATAATTAGAACAAGGGAGAACAGGGAAGATATAGCATTAAGGTTGTACCCACTAAGAACATACCCTATCTAGCCTATAACTTCTACGTAACAATATATGTATAAATTGACACCCCCTAGGCTAGAAAAGTAGTAGTGCACAGCAAGAAACACGTTGCTCAGGGTGGCACTACTAGTCCAACCTCTGAGACAAGGGACCAAAGACCAGACAGCAAGAGTACAAGCAAGACAAAGCAAACCAGGGCGGCACTACTAGTCCAACCACTGGAGGAAAAGCCACAAGGCCAGTCTGCAAGGCATAAATAGAAAGGAGTACACAATCAAGGGCCTAGCAAGTGAGAGTCAACAGGGACAAGACCTAACTGCAAATAGTGCCGCTGATGATCTCTAGGCGGAAGCGCCTTAGTAAAGATATCAGCTGTGTTGGCACCGGAGGCCTACGCGGGGCTGGCGACGCTGCTGAAGCTCGCGCAGGAGGAAGAACCGCAGCTGGACGTGCTTCGCTCTGCCCTCAAGTCGAGGCTCCTGACACATCAGGCTCATGGCCCTGCTGTCAGCGTCTAGAACCGGGGCAGAGCTAGGCCGCTCACCTAAGTCGGCAAGAAAGAAGGTCAGCCAGCGGAGCTCCTGTGCCGCCATGGCACCGGCGTAGATCTCGGCCTCGCAGCTAGACTGAGCAACAGACGAGAAGCGAGTTGACCTCCACGAGATGGCACCAGTTGCAAGGGTGAAGCAGTGCCATGGGAGGATCGGAGGGTGTCAGCGTCGTCTGCCCAAGAAGCGTCTGCGTGTCGAGTAAGGACCACTGGCCTGCGTCCTCCCAGCAATAGCCCCATGCCCGATGTACTTGCAAGATAATGCAAAACCCTCTTAGCGGCCGACCAGTGATGTGGCCGGTATCTGCCTGTGGCCACAAAGCATGTCTATGTTAGACACTGCGTCCCCCCCGGCGAGGGCGTCCCCCCAGGCAGCCGAAGCTTGCTCGTGTCGGTCCTTCACTCACCCGTCGCTGATATGGCACCACCGCCTAGGTCATCCTGCACTCCCGCGTCTACGTCACATGTCCCAGCACGGTCTTGTCCTAGGTCTCCTTGCGTCGCTCCCTTCCCTCACGCCCTCGCCTCCGCCGCCGTGCACGTCCTGCGTAGAGGGCTGGCTGTGCTGTGCTCCTCACTCCTCCTCGCTTCACCCTGCCAACGCGCCACTTCAGACCCTGCACCTGGACGTCTGGGGTCCAGCCCCCGTCCCTGGGCCGCGTTGAGAGCAATACTTCATGGTGCTTCTCGCTGACTACATGCGCTACACCACGGAATTCTTTTGGAGTGGAAGGTCGACGCGCCTGACGTTCTTATCCCGTGGATCGTAGCTGCGCAAGTCCGCCGAGGTCTCCCCGTGCTGTGTCTCCACTCCGACCGTGGCGGCGAGTTAGCCTTAAGTCGGCTTGGCCGGTTCTGATGTGCGGAGGGCATCACCCAGTCGTACACCCTGCCAAACTCCACATAGCAGAATGGGGTCACTGAGCAATGCATCGGCTTGGTCATGGAGGTGGCTCGTACCTCCATGATCCATGCCGGTGCACCCCATTTTCTGTGGTCGTTCGTTGTTTGCTACGCCGCTCACCAGCTGAACCTGTGGCCCCACCCCCAGCGGCCGCAGGTTTAACCGACCCTTTTCTGGACCGGGTGTCCTGGTGACGCGTCTGCGTTCCACGTCTGGGGATGCCTCATTCACGTTTGTGCCTCTGGCACGGACAATTCCACTGCTCGCACTGTCCCGTGTGTCTCCCTTGGCTTCCCCCTTGACTCGTCCGACTGGCACTTTTACCACCCGCCGTCTCACCACTTCCTTCACTCGCGTGACGTCACTTTCGACGAGTCTGTCTCCTTTTACCGTCGCTTTCCCCACCCCTGTTTCTGGTCCCCACTCCCCCGGTAGCCCCTGCTCCCCTCCCTCCCTGTCCTGCTCTGGCTAGAGTGTCTCACGTCTCTCCCCTCCCGTCGCTTGTCCCGGTCAAGGAGTCGGCTGACTGTGGTGGCCCCACGGCGCAGTTCTCGTGGATTGCCCCTTCCCTGGTGTCCCCTCCTCAGTCGTCTCAGTGCCGCCATGGCACCAGCGTAGATCTCAGCCTCACAGCGCGATTGGGCAACAGACAAGGAGCGAGTGGACCTCCACGAGATGGCACCTGAACCAAGGCTAAAGCAGTAGCCTTGGGAGAATGTGAGGGTCTCAGCGTCGTCTGCCCTAGAAGCGTCTCTGTGCCCAGTGAGGACCACTGGCCTGCGTCCTTCCAGCACTAGCCCCATGCCCGATGTACTAGCAAGATAACGCAAAACCCTCTTTGCGGCCGACCAGTGCTGGGGTCGGTGTCTGCCTGTAGCCACAATGAGAGTCAGGATGCTAAGAGGGTAGGCAAGATCTAGACGAGTGCAAGTCATCAAGTACATGAGGTAACCCACCAGCTCTGCATAAGGACCACTAGGCTCTGCTAACTCCTCAGGAACTAGAGCAGAGAGCCTGTGATCTACTGGTATAGGTGTGGGCTATGCGGAGGAGAACTGAAGACCGAACCTCTGAAGTTTGGTGCACCAAGTGTGACTGTGTGAGAGTGATAGTGCGCGTTGCTCTGTCCCTGGAGTCTGCAGGTCAAGATAGCGGTGCAGCTCTCCTAAATCAGTGCAGGTGTGTCTCCTCAGCAGCTCGGCCTTTACGGAGGCCAGTGAGTCTGTCTGCAGTAGCGAAGACCAGGTCGTCTACATTGACAAGGATGTAGAACGGAGTCTGGCCAGCACGAACGAAAAGCGAGGGGTCTATAGAGGACGGAAAGAACTGTAGGTCAGCTAGCATAGCATGCAGCATCTCGTGCCACTCACAGGGCGCCTGTCGCAGGCTGTAGACGAGGCGCCAAAGGAGCCAAGGGTCCCAGGAGGGAAGGTACCAGTAAAGCCCTGAGGACGGCGCAGGTAGACCTGCTCGTGTAGGCTGCCCTGAAGAAAAGCAGTGGAGAAGTCGAGGGAGTGAGCTCGTAGTCATACAAAAGGGGAGGCGCGACAGCGAGCAATGATGGAGGAGGCGAAGGCAGGAGGGGAGGACGAGGCGTGTGGGAACGAAGCAACATAGCGTGAGAACGCTGAACAAGAGAGACAGGACGAGCACGAGACGGATGGCGAGATCAGATGTGAGACGGAGGCGTCGGGTCACAGGACCGTGGACAGGAAGGGGAGGAGGCGGCGGGGGAGGCACAGGCAAGCGGTCAGGGGAGGAAAGGCCGAGCAGGCGAAGGGCGGACACCGGCGGCGACTGCTGCTTCTTCTGCTGCTCGACGCCGACACCTGGACCGCAAGTTGCACCGGGCCTCCCATCGGAACACTCCACTCCAGCACCCCCAGAACAAGCACCCCCAGAGCGAGAACCCTCTGCAGCGCCGGTGCCACCCCTGAGCTCGCCGGGACAAGCCACGATAGGAACCCTAGGAATAGCGTCCTTCTCAACATCAGCACCCCCAGAGGCCATGAACGGCTGCTGCTGCTGCGATGGCGGCGGCGGCTGCGGCAGCGGCGGTGGCAGCGGCGGCGGCGTCTGCTGCGGCGGAGACGGCGGCAGCAACGGCGGCGGCGTCTGCTGTGGCGGCGGCGGCGGCTGCGACAGTGGAGGGGAAGATACCAGGGGAGAGACGGACGGCAAGAACTGTGCCGTTGGGCCACCAGAGTCAGCCGACTCCTCGACCGGGACAACAGACGGGAGGGGAGTGACGTGAGACACACCAGACGGAGCAGGATGGGGAGGAAGGTGAGCAGGGGCTACCGGGGGATTGGGGACCGGAAACAAGGGGAGCGGTGGTAAAATGAGACAAACTCGTCGAAGGTGACGTCACGGGAGTGAAGGAAGCGGTGAGATGGCAGGTGGTAAAAGTGCCAGTCAGACGAGTCCAGGGGGAGACCGAGGACGACACAGGGGATAGGGCGGGCAGTGAGCTTGTCCGTACTGGAGGCACGGACGTGAGCGAGGCAGCCCCAGACATGGAACGCGGACGCGTCACCAGGGAACCCAGTCCAAAGAAGGGTCGGCGAAACCTGCGGCCGCTGAGAGCACGGCCAGAGGTTAAGCTGGTGAGCGGCGTAGTGAACGGCGAACGGCCGTAGAAAATGGGGTGCACCGACATGAATCATGGAGGTGCGAGCCGCCTCCATGACCAAGCCGATGCGTCGCTCAGCGACCCCATTCTGCTGCGGGGAGTCCGGTAGGGAGTACGACTGGGTGATGCCCTCCGCACGACAGAATTGTCCAAGCCGGCGAGAGGCGAACTCGCCGCCACGGTCGGAGTGGAGACACAACATAGGGAGACCACGGTGGAGGCGTGAGGGGCCAGCTAGGGCGCGCTGGGCCAGCAAAGGCGCGAGGGGGGCTGGCTGGGCGCTAGGGGCGGGCGACGACGCAAGGGGCCAGCTAGGCCGCGAGGGGGGCTAGCGAAGGTGCGAGGGGCTGGCGATGGCGTGAGTGGCGGGCCGGCTAGGTGCGAAGGGGCCGGCAGGGCACTAAGGACGGGCGACGATGCGAGGGGCCAGTTAGGGCGCGAGGGGCCAGCGAAGGCGCGAGGGGTTGGCGACGGCGCGAGGGGCGGGTCGGCTGGTCGCGAAGGGGCCGGCTGGGCGCTAGGGGCGGGCGACGACGCGAGGGGCCAGCTAGGGCGCTAGGGGTCAGCGTCGGCGCGAGGGGCTTGCGACGGCGCGAGGGGCGGGCCGGCTGGTCGCGAAGGGGCCGGCTGGGCGCTAGGGGCGGGCGACGACGCGAGGGGCCAGCTAGGGCGCTAGGGGCCAGCGACGGCGCGAGGGGCAGGCCGGCTGGTCGCGAAGGGGCCGTCTGGGCGCAAGGGGCCGGCTAGGGGGCAAGGTGCCGGCTAGGGCGCGAGGGGCCGACGAGCACGCTTGGGGCCGGCTACGGCGCGAGGGGACGGCAGGCACGCTAGGGGCCGGCGGGCGCGCTGGGGGCCGACGAGGCGTGGTAGGCTAGGGCACGGGGCAAAAGCGGGTGGGGGGGGGGGGGGGGACCTAACCTATGCGTGATACCATGTTAGAATACTAGCGTTGTGATATAATTCATAGCATTTATGTAAGTTGATAGATAGTGTCGAATCCTACTGTAGAAGATAAGTCCGTAGAATGACGTCAGCAAATAGCGCTCGTGATGAGGACAGTCGTTTCAGTCATGCGAACAGTCGCACCTCTTCATTGTCATTTAGGGCGCATAGCGCGATAGTGACGAATAGGTACAATAGCGAGCATGTACTTACCTAGAGCTATAAATCCTTGTTATGCCTTTTCATTATTAACTTTGATTACCCCCACAAGTTCATGAGCTCAAGTTGTTCAACCTTGACTTTCACAAGAGTTATACTCAGATTCACTTTTTACAAGACTTTTGCTGTCTTACTAGTCTACCATTCCAGCAAAGATTCTAGGCTAACACTTGAGGTTTTCCAAGTGTTTGTGTTTGCAAACTCTACACATAGTTTTCCTGCAACACCTGTCAAATTATTACAACTAGAATGCTTGAAACAAGGGAGTACAGGGGAGATATAGTGTTGGGGTTATACCCACTACGAACATACACCAATCTAGCCTATAACTTCTACATAACATCATATGTATAAGTTGACAATTCTTTTTTTTCATACTTTAACTAATCAGAGAGGCCCAAAACCAATTTGGGGGCCTGCTTGTGTAAATGAAACAAATATAAATGAAAACGTGGAAGGTCAAAGCTTTACTTAGTTATAAAGGTTTGGACACATATTCTCGAAAGCCCATCTTGGTGCTTTTTTCCCTTGCTGATTCTTAGCGGATACCTCACTCGAAATAGAAGAAACGCAGTGCACCAAACATATTCCCCAGTAGGGGCAAGCACAGGAATTCAGGCCATTGACGTACTCACAGAAATAGCTCCAAACTGGATTCGGCAAACCTGGCGTCGTGTTCCTTAGTCATGCGCGTCGTCCACGTCGTAGCCTTGGTAGTATACGCTGTCGCTGCGTGTCATGTCGCACGCGCTGCTCGCAGGAGCGTGTACGCCGACAGCAGTAGCAGCAACGTCCACTTCGTGTCGCCAGATGAGGCAAGAGAGCTTCGCGAGGAGGTGAGCTTCGCGAGGAATTGAAACTAGTCTCTTGTTCGCAGGCTAATTTCCAATGACGCGTTGGCTTAATTTACTTACAATCAAGTAGCAGTACACTCATTCAAGACTTTGTCTGCTACGAACCTGCAGTGTCTTGACGGCTGGTTGGAAATCATATGGTCATTCGCTCGCCATGATGAGTCTTCTCGAATTTGCGACATTCTCGGCATTGATACGACAATATGGAGCCTAAAAACACGTACTTTGAACTGTGCGGGTCTTATGACAGGTCCGGGCCATGTTCTATCATGGCTATAACGGGTACATGCGGCATGCCTTCCCTCTGGATGAGCTTCGCCCTCGCTCGTGCAAAGGAGAGGATTCTCTGGGTGGCTACACCCTCACACTGGTCAGTCACTCTGACAGCATCAGTGTCACCCTCACTCTGGTCAGTTACTCTGACAGCATCATTGTCAACCCACTGGTCAGTCAGTCACTCTGATGCTATCAGGCATCCCTCCTTGCTGATCTTGCTGCTCTTGCTGCTCCTACTGCCCTTGCTGCTAGTGCTTCTGTTGCTTCACTTGCTGCTCCTGCTCTGCTGCTCTTGCTGCTCTTGCCCTGTTTTGCTGCTCTTGCTGCTCTTGCCCTGTTTTGCTGCTCTTGCTGCTCTTGCTGCTCTTGCTGCTCTTGCTGCTCCTGTTTTGATGCTTGCCTTGCCCTGGTGATGCTTGGATCCATTAATGTTGCTGTGTGCATTTCTGTCATGCAAGGATTGATGGTGATATGTGCATATTTTCTTTGCATCTCTTTATGGTGTTTTGCACGTTCGCTTTGTGTGCAAACTTTATCTTTGCAACAGATTGACTCCCTGGATAGCCTGGCACTGCTTGGCAACAAGACTGAATTCGCCTCAGCTGTCAGATGGCTATCGTCACACCTCAATTTCGACAAGGTGAAAATTCTTACAAGGTATTAAGGCAAGCAAACCACTGCCATAAAATGACGCTCGGAGAGCTATTCTCCTCCTTGTTCAATGTGCTGTGGCGCCTTGTTTCGGCGCATTTCTTGCCATTTATCCTTCTTTTGCCTTACTGCCCTCCCCCCCCCCCTTCCCCCCGCCCCCTCCACCCGTTACTGCTACAGAACAAGACCGTATCTCTGTTTGAGACGAACATTCGAGTCATGGGTGGACTGCTTTCAGCACATCTCATTGCATCCGACCCTGCACTGGTAACCACATGCGCACATCTGTACCGGTAACCACATATGCTGCGTCTGGCCTTGCCGTGGTAACTTATATGTGCCCTTTCCCTGTACTTGGAACCACATGTGCCTTGCTTCTGTGCTGGTAACCCCATGTGCTGCGAGTTCCCCTGTACTGGTAACCACACCTGCCACATGGGACCCTGCTGCTGTAATCGTGCATCATGGCACTGGAATGTGCACCCTCTCGCCCCCGCCTTCCTCCTTATCTTCTTTCCCTGTCCTTCCCCATTTTTCGTTCTCTCCCTCTCCTCTCCCCTCACTCCCCCAGGGCATGCAGGTGCCTGGCTATGACAACGAGTTGCTTCTTTTCTCCGCCTCTCTGCCCTTATCGGCTCTCTCTGTCTCGCTCCCCTCTCTCCCACACACAAGGCATGCAGGTGCCTGGCTATGACAACGAGCTGCTTCTTTTCTCCGCCTCTTTGCCCTTATCGGCTCTCTCTGTCTCGCTCCCCTCTCTCCCACACACAAGGCATGCAGGTGCCTGGCTATGACAACGAGTTGCTTCTTTTCTCCGCCTCTTTGCCCTTATCGGCTCTCTCTGTCTCGCTCCCCTGTCTCCCACACACAGGGCTTGCAGGTGCCTGGCTATGGCAACGAGTTGCTTCTTTTCTCCGCCTCTTTGCCCTTATCGGCTCTCTCTGTCTCGCTCCCCTCTCTCCCACACACAGGGCATGCAGGTGCCTGGCTATGACAACGAGTTGCTGAGGCTAGCAGAGGACCTTGGCAGGCGGCTATTGCCAGCATTCGACACGCCTACAGGTGCGTTTATTGTTACAACTAGTATAATTTATTGTACACGCCCAGGCTTGTCTTAAAGCTTCCATCAAAGCACATGTTACTGCAGGACGTATCAGGCCTACTTTGCTTTGCCATGAGCTAGCTAGTGCGTTCCTCTGCTTCTCCGCTGCCTGCTGTTCGTTGTGTTGTGACTCTACTCCTTCCTCTCAACTCTTCCTCCAGTCAATGGCTCCTTTCTTGTGCTCCTCATGTCGCCTTTTGTTTCAGGCATTCCCTTTGGCTCTGTCAATCTGCGTCATGGCGTTCTGCGAGGGGAGAGCAAGGTGAGTGCTCTGATACCAGCATGACTCCTTTTGAGGCGCCTCAGTGCTCTGATACCAGCACGACTCCTTTTGAGGCGCCTCAAAAACAATCTGCGTCATGGCGTGCTGCGAGGGGAGAGCAAGGTGAGTGCGCAGACTAGGATGACAGACCTGTGTACTTTCATGGCATAAGGGGTAGGGCATCCTATGCAGTGTGCAGTGTGCAGAGTGCAGTGTGCTCATAGTCCATAATGGCAAACACGTGTGCAGTACCGGTTGGCATCATGGGAATAGGACGAGGATGTGTTTTGTTTTAGAGAATTCTCAAAAACAAAACACATCATTGTCCATAATGGCAAGCACGTGTGCAGTGTGCTCATAGTCCATAATGCCAAACACGTGTACAGTGTGGGTTGGCATCATGGGAGTAGAACGAGAAAGGTGATGGGATCAGGAGTCAGGAGAGGCATGGGGCACGAGGCATGGGGCATGAGGCATGGGGCATGAGGCATGGGGCATGAGGCTAAGTGGGAAAATTTGCAGGGGTCCCCAAGCGTTTTGCATAAATTCGTCGGCATAAATTCGCGTTCGCGAATTTACCTGAAATTCGCAAATTCGCTGGGGGAAATTTTCGGGGCAGCCCAGACAAAAAAATGCGGAAAAAATCTCGCGAATCGCGAAGACACGGCGAAGCCAACCGTGGCCTCGCCAATTCGCGATTCCAACTTTTGACCCCCCAAACAAGCTTCCAACCCCTCCCAAGCTCCCAACCGCATCAAACCCCCCTGCATCTGGAAAATCCAACCAATCCACCACACAACTCATGCTACTCTACTAGCAGAGTAGTTGCTTGCGCAAACCTAATTCCGCCACGTCCTAGAAAGTCGTCCATATCCCGCATAGAATCTAGCTTACCTCACAAGAGTTCTAGCAGCAATGTCGTGTCGACCCTCCCAGAAAATATTTTTTCCTGCCTGCCCGGTCATTTTTTTCTGCCTGGGCCAAACGAATTTCTGAGCGAATCTAAATTTGGGCCCTGACGTACGCGGAACGTGAATTTTCCCACTTAGGCATGAGGCATGGGGCATGAGGCATGGGGCATGAGGCATGGGGCACGAGGCATGGGGCATGAGGCATGGGGCATGAGGCGTGGGGCACGAGGCATGGGGCATGAGGCATGGGGCGTGGGGCACGAGGCATGGGGCATGAGGCATGGGGCATGAGGCATGGGGCATGAGGTATGGGGCATGAGGCATGGAGCATGAGGCATGAGGCATGGGGCATGAGGCATGAGGTGTGTAGTATCAATCGTGTAGCCCAATGCATCTCTCACGCAGCAAATGGGCACTCCTCCTCGTCTCCCCGTTCCTGTTTCTACAATTCTCCCTCATCCATGTCTACGGCTCAATCCATCTGTTAAGACTCAAAAGTCCATACACTATTTATCTTAATCTCTCTATCTAACTTCTCATACGGCATGCCATCATATTACGCCATGTCATGGCATTTGTCACATGCTGTGTAATGCAATACTTTGCTGTCCCATCCACATCATGCCATGTCATGCCATGTCATGCCTTGTCATGCCTTGTCATCCCATGGCATTCAGGTGACAGCAACAGCAGGTGGCGGCACACTAGCACTGGAGTTTGGAGTGCTCAGTCGACTCACAGGCGATCCAGGCATGTAGAAGTTGGCCCTGTGAAATGAGCTTGAACGTGCACGTGTGCATGTGTGCACGTGTGCATGTGTGCATGCCTAGTGACAGCAGCAGCAGGCGGCGCCACACTAGTACTGGAGTTTGGAGTGCTTAGTCGACTCACAGGCGATCCAGGCAAGTAGAAACTGGCCCTGTGAAATGAGCTTGAATGTGCGCGTATGCATGTGTGCACGTGTGCCTGCCTACTGACAACAACAGCAGGGGGCGGCACACTAGCACTGGATTTGGGATTGCTCAGTCGACTCACAGGCAATCCAGGCGAGTTAGGGAGCGGGATTGGAACACAAAAACTGCCGTTAGGGCCTTGTGGGGTCCACACTTCTCACGAATCCCATCTGTTCTCGGCTCCCTTCTCGTCTCAGTTCCAGTTTGCTCGACCATCAAGTAGAACATCGGATACACTGTCTCCCTTGTGGGCTTGGAAGTGCTCCTATCCTAAACCCCATCCTCTCTCCCTTTCCCGAGTCTGCACGTAATGCAGACGTGATGCCGTGAGGCCGTGATGGCGTGTTCATTCACTCCCTCACTCCAGGTGAAATGAGTCGATTTTGCTTTTGAGTCGACTCAAAAGTCGACTCATTATGCACGTGATGGCGTGTTCATTCACTCCCTCACTCCAAGTTAAATGAGTCGATTTTGCTTTTGAGTCGACTCAAAAGTCGACTCATTATGCACGTGATGGCGTGTTCATTCACTCCCTCACTCCAGGTTAAATGAGCCGATTTTGCTTTTGAGTCGACTCAAAAGTCGACTCATTATGCACGTGATGGCGTGTTCACTCACTCCCCCTCTCCAGGTGAAATGAGTCGATTTTGCTTTTGAGTCGACTCAAAAGTCGACTCATTATGCACGTGATGGCGTGTTCCATCACTCCCTCACTCCAGGTGAAATGGGTCGATTTTGCTTTTGAGTCGACTCAAAAGTCGACTCATTATGCACGTGATGGCGTGTTCCATCACTCCCTCACTCCAGGTGAAATGGGTCGATTTTGCTTTTGAGTCGACTCAAAAGTCGACTCATTATGCACGTGATGGCGTGTTCATTCACTCCCTCACTCCAAGTTAAATGAGTCGATTTTGCTTTTGAGTCGACTCAAAAGTCGACTCATTATGCACGTGATGGCGTGTTCACTCACTCCCCCTCTCCAGGTGAAATGAGTCGATTTTGCTTTTGAGTCGACTCAAAAGTCGACTCATTATGCACGTGATGGCGTGTTCCATCACTCCCTCACTCCAGGTGAAATGGGTCGATTTTGCTTTTGAGTCGACTCAAAAGTCGACTCATTATGCACGTGATGGCGTGTTCCATCACTCCCTCACTCCAGGTGAAATGGGTCGATTTTGCTTTTGAGTCGACTCAAAAGTCGACTCATTATGCACGTGATGGCGTGTTCATTCACTCCCTCACTCCAGTGCTTGAGGATGTGGGTGGCACGTAATGCTATGAGCGCATTGCGGGCTTGGCAGTTCGCCAAAACTATTTTTGAGGCGCCTCAAAAAAAGGCTCCTCGTCCTCCCTCCGTTTCCCCATTCTGCACGTAATGCTGCACTCACTCCTGACTCCAGTGTTTGAGGATGAGGCGCGTAACGTAATGCTGTGAGGGCATGGTAGGCATGGTGGGCATGGTGGGCATGGTGGGCTTGGAGGGAAGTGTTCCTAAACTCCATCCTCCCTCCGTTTCCCCAAACTGCATGTAATGCTGCGCTCACTCCCAACTCTCCAGTGTTTGAGGACGTGGCTCGGAACGCTATGCGTGCACTATGGGCCCGGCGCTCGTCCCTCGGTCTGCTAGGAGCGCACATAGACATCTTCACGGGGGAGTGGACGCACAAGGTAAGGTCGATGGGGCAAGTCAAGCATGGTGTGGGTCGGATCGGATGCCTCAAAGCATTGAAATTTGAATGCAGTCCTTCAGGATGTGGCTTGCTCCTCGGCCTGCTAGGGGCGCATTTAGACATCTTCACCGGGGGAGTGGACACAAAAGGTAGGCACAAGGCACGAGATCAAGTATGCCATGAGGCGCTTCAAAGTGATCGTTCTTCGGGCTGCTAGTGGCGCACATAGACATCTTCACGGGGGAGTGGACGCACAAGGTAGGCTCACAAGGGCCTTTTATTACTCGCCCCTACGTAAGCATTAGATTGTTTTGACAGCTGGATGCAGGAGTAGGCACCGGCGTATACACTGTCCTATTTATCACATATAATGAATCCATGCAAATCGCATGTGTACTTTGAGTCGATGATACATATATATATCATGTGGTCTTCTTTATTTTTCAATGTCAGGATGCCGGAGTGGGCACCAGCATCGATTCCTTCTATGAGTATCTTATCAAGGTATCAAGGCACCTCATAACGCAGATCATAAGGCATCCTTTATGTCTATGCTCCTTTCTGTTATCATTAAGACATTGGGATTACTACAACCGTTATCTTGCTCATTGCTGTTCGGCTGCTCCTTGTCCAATCTTTGTTTGGCTATGAACCTTTTATCTTTTCACCTTTTTCAGATTTTCTTTTTCTTTTTCAATTCTCCCCAGGCACACATTCTGTTTGGCGACTTTGAGTATTTGCATATCTTCCAGGCAGCCTATGATGCTGTTATGACACACATATTCCACGACCCATGGTGTGTGAATGTGACTCAGTGAGAGTGGGTGTGGGAGTGTGAGTGGGCGTGACTGAGTGTGATTGAGTGTGGGAGTGTGGATGACCTTGAGTATTTGCATGTCTTCCAGGCAGCCTATGATGCTGTTATGACACACATATTCTCGACCCATGGTGCGTGGATGTGACTCAGTGTGGGTGGGTTTGAGGGAGTGTGAGTTACCGGTAGTGTGATGGAGTGAGTGTGAGTGAATGTGTGAGTGTGGGGCTATATTTGGCGATTTAGACTATCTGCACATTTTCCAGGCAGCCTAGGATGCCATTATGACAAGCACACAGCACACACCTGCCTAGAGTTCCATGGTGCGTGTATATGTACATACACACGCAGCACACACCTGCCATGTGTAAAGCACTGCGACACACATTTCCCACAACAATTCTCACTCCCCTCCCCTCCCTCTCACAGGTAAGTGGAGGTCAACATGGACGTGGCAGAGGTCGTCTGGCCTCTCTTCAACTCGATTGCAACCATGCTGCTTTGCCCCCTCACATCCTACTCCCCTGTACACCATATGCCCCTCTCCCTATCTCTCTCCCCTCCCCCCTCCCCCTCGCAGGTACGTGGAGGTCAACATGGACGTGGCAGTGGTAGTGTGGCCTCTCTTCAACTCCCTCCAGGCCTTCTGGCCAGGGCTGCAGGTATGAGGGGGATTGCTCGCAGGTTCAAGAGGGGCTGCACCTGCAGCCTGCAGGTACGTCCGATGCGGCTTCCTGGAGATGGAGGCAGCTCAGAGCTTTATGCTTCCTGGAGATGGAGGCAGCTCAGAGCTTTATGCTTCCTGGAGATGGAGGCAGCTCAGAGCTTTATGCCTCCAGGATGGCTCACCCACTCACTTCCCTCCAGGCCTTTTGGCCTGCCCTGCAGGTACGTCAGATGCCACTTTCTGGATATGGAAGTAACGCTTCAGGTCTGTCAGATGCGTTCCGACTCAAAGCTTTATGCCTCCGGATGGCGTACTCTCTTTCCTCCGGATGTCGCTCGTTGGGGCCCAGATTGCAGAAAGTCGGCCGCCCACCTTGTGCTAAGCACAGCACGTTTCCTTTATCCACACGTGACGCAAACGAGGTCCCCCCAGGGTTCCTGAATTATTCCGTTAGCGAAAGGATCACATCACAAAGGACCTTCTTTTCTGTGTGGTTTTGCTATGGCTTCACCCCAGAGGGCTTCAACCCCTAAAAGGCTGCTCTTCTATTTCCCACCTTCCCCTCCCGCCCCGTCACCCTTTTGCTGGTTATGATAACAGACATCAACAGGGCAGCCGCTCCCATAGAGCTTTCTTTTCAGACTGGTGACGCTACGGCTCCACCTCCGAGGGCAAGCCCTATGGCTCGCTGGGCCCCGCGCTGGTGCTGAGGGCTTCGAGTCTCATTCTTCCTTTTGAGTCGACTCAAAAGCCTTTGGCTTCAACCAGAGGGCTTCGACCAGCCTGGCTCACTGGGCCCCGCACTCAGGGCTTCGAGTCTCATTCTTCCTCCCTCCCCTCCCGCCCTATCACCCTTGCGTAGGTTATGATAGGCGACATTGACAGAGCAGCCCGCTCCCATAGGGCCTTCTTCTCCGTGTGGCGGCGATATGGGTTCACCCCAGAGGGTTTCAACCTGGCTCAGTCCGCGGTGCAGCCAGGCCAGAGCTCGTATCCTCTAAGGCCAGAGCTGGCTGAGAGCACGTACTGGCTGTTCAAGGCCACTAGGGACCCCTTGTGAGTTCTTTTATCCTACTACTGCTGAATTCTTTTATCGGACGACCCAGGAATACGTACCCCTAAAGTTTCACCCCAGAGGGATTCAACCTGGCTCAGTTTGCTGTGAGCTCGTATGCTCTAAGGCCAGAGCTGACAGAGAGCACGTACTGGCTGTACTAGACCACTAGAGACCCCTTGTGAGTGCCTGTTTGTGTGTGCTTGTGTACGGATGTGTTAGTATGAGGGGTGACAGCACAGCATGTGAGTGAGCTTGTATGCAGAGAGCACGTACTGGCTGTACAAGGCCACCAGAGATCCGTTGTGAGTGCCTTTGAGTCTGTGCTCACACATACACTCTTGCTCAGACAGGTGTTGGTCTGACAAGAGCCTCTTGCACACTAGCAATGCACTTAGGCTCAGTCTCCCTTGCCCGTCACCCCCCTCAATTCGTCCTTTGTATTAGATAGGAAGCGTTACAGGCATGGAAGGTAAGGCCCGTACATGGCAAGTGCAGGACACACCTAAGGTACTAGCCTAGGTCCCTAGGAGTCCCCGAGCGCCGGCTCCAGGACCTGCAGAAGGTCCCCCACGGGGAGAGGCTCAGCCGCAACGCCTAGGGGCCACTCCTCCGCTGCTAGGGCCATGTTGGTCTTGGTATTGAGGGCGACGGCTTGCCCACGCTGGAGAGTCACCGACCACCGCTGGCGGTGCTCATGGAACAGCTTGGCGGCCTCTCTAGAGTCGGGGGCAGCCCCGTGTCGCTTCTTCGCGGCAAGCTCGGCGCACTTCCGGAGAAATTGGAAGACACCAGGGGAGGTGAGTCCATAAGTCTCAGCCGCCCACGCAAAGAAGCCGACCCACTCGGGACTTGTCGGTGGGCGGTACTTGTTTTCCTCCCCCCTGGCGGCATTCTGGACAGCCCATCCACTGCCCCGACAAGCAAACTCGTCGTCCTTTGATATCGGGTCCGTCACGGTGACGTCACAAAGCCACACCGCTCCTGTGTCCGTATGCCGGATGGCGACGTCAGCCCAGAGGTTGGCGACATGGGTGAAGAGGTTCGTTTCCATGCGGGTGATGAACCCATGCGGGTGATGAACCCATGCGGTTGATGAACCCATGCGGGTGATGAACCCATGCGGGTGATGAACCCATGCGGGTGATGAACCCATTCGGTTGATGAACCCATGCGGGTGATGAACCCATGCGGTTGATGAACCCATGCGGGTGATGAACCCATGCGGTTGATGAACCCATGCGGGTGATGAACCCATGCGGTTGATGAACCCATGCGGGTGATGAACCCATGCGGGTGATGAACCCATGCGGTTGATGAACCCATGCGGGTCATGAACCCATGCGGGTGATGAACCCATGCGGGTGATGAACCCATGCGGGTGATGAACCCATGCGGGTGATGAACCCATGCGGTTGATGAACCCATGCGATTGATGAACCCATGCGGGTGATGAACCCATGCGGTTGATGAGCCCATGCGGGTGATGAACCCATGCGGGTGATGAACCCATGCGGGTGATGAACCCATGCGGGTGATGAACCCATGCGGTTGATGAACCCATGCGGGTGATGAACCCATGCGGGTGATGAACCCATGCGGGTGATGAACCCATGCGGTTGATGAACCCATGGGGGTGATGAACCCATGCGGTTGATGAACCCATGTGGGTGATGAACCCATGCGGGTGATGAACCCATGCGGGTGATGAACCCATGCGGGTGATGAACCCATGCGGGTGATGAACCCATGCGGGTGATGAACCCATGCGGTTGATAAACCCATGCGGGTGATGAACCTCGCCTCCACTGCGATCATGGCGCACTCGTCCCGCAGGCCGTGATGAGTGCCGGTGCGACCTGGGCCCTGGCGGCACCTGAGCAGGGCGCGGGTGAGGTGGTTGAAGGCTGCTGTGCAGACGTCAGCTGGCCCTAGGAGGGTTATGTCGTCCGCTTATGCAAGGACAATCACCACTGGGTGCGCGGCGGCAGTCGCTCACCCCCCTCTACGCCTCTTCACCCCCCTCTACGCCTCTTCACACCCATCCCTTCCCCTGCCCCTCCCATCTCCTCTGTGATCTCCCTTCTCCTCCCCTGTGCACTTCTCTGCACCTGCCTGCCTGTCAGTTGGGAGGGACTCTGCTGCTGCCAGCCTTCCTTTAGCCCCTCAGCCCCCTCTACCACGCCACTTCACATCATTCTACTCGCCTTCCTGCTTCGCTGCAACCACTTTGACTGTTGGGACTCGGGGGAGGGACATAGTTGCCCTTTTGAGGCGCCTCACTTTTGAGGCGACTTTTGAGGCGCCTCAAAACCTTTGACTGTTGGGACTCGGGGGAGGGACATCATTGCCCTTCTTGGTTCAATCCAAACCCCTTATACTTCTCCTTCTTTCCCCTCGCCTGCCCCTCCTGCCTCCGTGCTTCGTTTTTGTCAGTCGGCAGGGACAGCATTGCCGGCCATCTTGTCCTCACCCCACTCTACTCCTCTTCACCCCCCTCTACCGCTCTTCACCCCACTCTACCGCTCTTCACCCCACTCTAATCCTCTTCACCCCCTCTACTCCTCTTCACCCCACTCTACTCCTCGTCACCCCACTCTAGTCCACTTCACCCCCCTCTACTCCTCCTCGCACCCTTCCACTGCCCCCCCTGCCTGCCTGCAGCTACCTGTCAGTCGGGAGGGACATGGTTGCCAGCCTGGCGCTGACGCGCTGCCGGTGTGGCTACTGCCATGTCAGCGATGTGGAGACGCATGCGCTGGACGACCACATGGAGAGCTTCTTCCTCTCGGAAACTGTGAGGTTCCTTTCCCTAGTAGAATCATTGTTTTAGAATTCTAAAAAAAAGGCTCCACCGCATTGGGACGGTAATTAGTATTCTAGCTCAGGATGGTCCCATGGAGCTCCATTTTGTGGAGACGCATGCGCTGGACGACCACATGGAGAGCTTCTTCCTGTCGGAGATGGTAAGCCATGCCATGCGCGCGCTGCGCTACCATTGCCATGTGGCGGTTTGGGTGTGTGGGGGGGGGGGGGGGGGCGGGGGGAGGGGTTGTTGCACCCCCAAAAACTCACCCATGCCTCATGGCTACTCCTCCCCCCACCCTACCCCCCTTCCGCACCGTGGTTTTTTCAGGTAACGTATCTGTACCTCCTACCTGCCCCTCTCCCACACACATCCCCCCCTTCCCCCCCTTGTTTCCCCTCTCCCCTTCCCCCCCTTGTTCCCCCTCTCCCCTCTCACGTGAAGTACCTGTATCTTCGCTTTGGACTGCCTCTTGTCTCGTTCACTCCGCTCCTTTCTCTGCCTCTTGTCTCGTTCACTTCTCACCTTCCTCTCATAGCCCGCTCCTTCCCTCCCTCCCTTCCTCAGGCGAAGTACCCGTCCGTGCCTGCTTTGTGGCCTAACGCTTGTCACATCTCCCATCCTACCTAAACCCCGCCACCCCACACCCCCCTCCCTCCGCCTCTTCTACCTCCCCCTCTCCTCTTCTCAGGTGAAGTACCTGTACCTGCTCTTTGACTTGGTCCTCGTCTCATCTCACATACCCATCTCGCATTCCACCCTCCGTTCTTGGTTCACCCATTCATGCTCCCCTTGCCAGGTGAAGTACCTGTTCCTGCTCTTTGACTCGGCCTTGGGTGGCGACAACATAATGGACAACGGCCCATACCAGTGAGTCCAGCCAATTGAACGAGTCAAGCCAGTTGAACGAGTCAAACCAGTCAAACGAGTGTAAGCCAATCAAGCCTGTCAAGCAAGTCAAACAAGTCAAACAGGGCAAACAGAGCAGCCAGGTCAAACAGGTCGAATGCATCAACCCTTGGGTGGAGACGTCATCAAGCGTCAAATCAGTTGGTCAAACTTGCTATGACTGACACAAAATGGACCACAATGGACCACAGCGGACCACAGTGGACCACAATGGACCACAATGGACCACCATGGAACACTATGCACCACAATGCACCACAATGGACCACATTTTCTCTGACATAAATTGTATTTTCCCTTCCTGAGCAATGTTCCTTTGCCTTCCTCCCCTGTTTCCCCCCTGTTTCCCCCCTGTTTCCCCCCTGTTTCCCCCCTGTTTCCCCCCTGTTTCCCCCCTGTTTCCCCCCTGTTTGCCCCCTGTTTCCCCCCTGTTTCCCCCCTGTTTCCCCCCTGTTTTCCCCCTGTGTCCTCGGTTGCACCTTCACCGGAGGGCCATCGCCTTCCCCCTCAGAGCACTCCTCCTACCTCAGCACCTTCTGCGTGCCGCCGCAAGCCAAACTTCGAGTTTCCATCCCTCCCCCCCTTGTTGCCCTTCCCCCTGTAGGTAGGTTCTAACCACAGAGGGCCATCTCCCGCCCCTCACTCCAGAAATCTCCTTCCACTCGGAGCACTCCTCCTACCTAAGGCTGCACGCCACCCCAAGCCAGCAGCTGTTTCCCTTGCCCCTTACCTGTCCGCTTTCCCCCCTGATTCCTCAGGTACGTTTTAACCACGGAGGGCCATCTGCTCCCCTTAACTCCTGAGATCTCATTCCCCTCGGAGCACTGCTCCTACCTCAACAGCTTCTGCGCACCACCGCAAGCCAGCAGTTGCCGCATTCAAGGGGAGGTTACTGCTGGGGAGGGTGGGATGGGGGAAGGGGGAGGCGCGACTGGGGAAGGGAGTGACTGGGTGGAAGAGATAGAGGGGGATGAGGAGGGAGAGTGGGAGGATAAGACCAGGGAGACGGGAGAGACGGGAGAGACGGGAGAGACGGGAGAGACGGGAGAGGCGAGTAAGGGAGGGGGTGCGAGGGAGGAGAGGGGCAGCACTGGTGGTGCAGCAGCCATGGGATCTGAGTCGACTCAAAAGGCAGCAGCCATGGGTCATGGTGCTAAGTCCATGAGTCATGAGGGAATGGAGGAGGGAGTGGGAGGAGATAGAGAGGAGTTGGAGGCGGTGGACCCGAATGTGGAGGTAGTGGCAAAAGGGAAGTCATGGGTGCTGACTCGTGAGAAAGGGAATAAAAAGCCCTCAGAACCACTCTCGACTGCTGATCCACACTCAAGCAGCAGCAGCAGCAGCAGCAGCAGCAGCAGCAGCAGTTGTCGTGTTAGCAGAGGCGGGGATATGACTGCGGAAGATGAGGATGACGAGGAGGAGGAAGAGGAGGAGGTGGTGGAAGAGGAGGAGGATGAGGAGGAGGAGGAAGGCGAGGATAGGGAGGGATTTAGGGGAAGGCGGCATGGGAAGAGGAGAGATCTACAAGACATGTCAGAACAGTTTGATACATACAGAGATCTACAGGTATGCAGTACACTGTTAACGGGACGGCAAAACCACACCTCTCAACTCAATTCACGAGGCTTACATGTGAATATCGAAAACACTAGACATTGTTTTTTATAAAACCCATGATCTTCTAAGTTGGTTCTCATGATGCAATTTTCACTGCGTTTCTTGGGGCATCCTTCCTTTTAGAGGTGATATCCTCTCTGACGCCGTCTTTTTCTCTCCTCTACGTACAGGGATTCTGTCAAGGTATATCCTTGTGGAGAAGGCTAGGTATTCCAGGACTCTGATTTTTTACTAGGTATGCATTATGTTGGCATTTGCAGGTACTGTATCTATCCTCGTTGTAATGGCGATGTGTGTTTGTTGTGTGTGTGATGGGTGAGCATATTTTGTTAGTATAACAACGATGACTCCTTTCGTAAATTGGATAATTTTACTCGCCGTGCTCATGTGTGTCGATTACCATTTTCATGGAGTGCAATCAAGTGAGCACTACATTTTATCAATCCAATACCGTAATCACCCGGATAGACGCCCCTAGGGGCGTTTATAGGACTGGTTTTTAACTAAGGGGGGGCGTTTAATTGAATAAAAAATATACGCCCATGGGCGTTTATAACAAATTTTACATAATATTTAAAAAAATTGAAAAACTGTAGGTCTTGATGTTTGTAGGCTATTGGGCGTGGTTCCAGAGGGGACGCGCCGAGAACATGCGTGGAAACTAGGTTTGAATGTGCGACCAGCACAGCAAGGCAAGAAAGCTGCCATGCGGCCCTATCACAAGCAATCCTGGTGCCGTGCTGTGCGAGCACACATGGTTCACTGGTGTTGGGGGCCACATTCCTGCAACATCCGCACCAGGGCAGCGACGTGGCTTGGGGTACCAGGAACCTGGACAGGAATCTTGCATAAAATATTCCTTCCTCCACCCCTTTCATCGACGAGGAATCTGACCCCGACGAGGAACCCAAGCCGCTTTCCAGGAGGGGGAACCTCGTCGAAGGGTTCAGTTCAGTATTTCATTTCCTATCGATGTGAATGCTGAAGCAGCACCAGCTCCCCTTGCGGGAGCTATGGCTGGCTTTCCCGTGTCTGGCATTTCGATCCTTTTTGGTAGACCAGGCGAGCCCACGCGCATTAGAGCAGAGAATCGTTCAGCTCCTCCCGCACCTCCCGCTCCTCCGGCTCCTCCGGCTCCCCCTGCCCCTCCTGCTCCGCCGGCTCCTCCCACTCCTCCTGCCCCGCCAGCGCCACCCGCTCCTCCGTACCTGTACGGACTGCCAGTCCTGACTCTGCTGCTGTCGGGCGAGAAAATTCCGCAAGACGGCATCAATGCCCATCCAAAGCCCGACGCTAGCTCTTCCGCTGCGCCACCTGCTGCTCGTGATTGGGGGATTCCGCACGGTGATGAGTGGCCCGAGCACGACGCGGATGCTGATGATGGAGCCGAGTACTGGTCTCGGGATGGTCTTCCCGAGAAGCTCCCTGTGCCGTCGTTTCCCGAGGGCAGAAAACCGCCACATCCTTCTTCTGTGAACCGAGATGCCTGCCCCCCATCCCCCATGAATCGGATGAACGGGAGGAAGCGAAAGTCCTACACGGCGAAGTAGAAGATATTTTGGTTGGACCGACTGAAAGAGGTAAAAAGGAAGAATGAAGTCGCACGCGAGTCTGGAATCTCGCGTCGCCGCATCAACGACTGGTCGAAGCACGAGGAGGAGCTAAGAGCTGCCCACGGCTGTCGTAAGAGGCTGCATGGGCAGGGGGGGTCTTCTTGGTACACCGATATGGAGACGCAGGTGTATTCGAAGCTTCTCGCCGCGCGTGCTGTGGGAACTCCGGTCCTGGTGTCAAGGCTGCAGAAGTGGTCACAGGAGTTAATGAAGGTTCTTCACCCCGACGTCAAATGGCAGGGCTCCTACCGCTGGACCGAACGATTCCGATCAAGGTGGAATCTGTCGGTTCGCGCCAAGACGAAAGTCGGTCAGAAAATGACCGATAGTAAGTACACCGTCATTGCATCCGTTTCTGTTTCTTTCCGTTTATGTACGTACTCTCTTATTCGAGTTTACACTGTCGCTCCGTACGAATGTTGGACTAAGTCATGTCCTTTTCGAATTCCCATACTGCCCTCCCACAGGTTGCTCGGCAGAGGTCGAAAACTTCTGGCGATTCTGCAGGGAGGTGCGGAGGATGTACGGCATTGAAGAGCGCTGGATAATCAACGCCGACCAAACTCCACTGTGGTTGGAGATGCCGGCTGACCGCACCGTCGAGCAGGTCGGCGTCAACTCCGTCCCTATCCGCTCCGCCGGCTACCAGAAGGAGCGAGTTACTGTTATGCTCGCGTGCACGGCAGGGGGGGAGAAGCTGAAGCCGTGGGTCTACTTCAAGAGGAAGACCGTCCCTCAAGGGGATTTCCCCGCTGGTATGTTTTGGTTTCGCGGCTTTTGTGTTTTTTCCTTGTTTTTTCAATCGCGTTAACCAAGCTTATACTCTGTCTTTATGCAGATGTCGTCGTTGCGGCACAGCCCAATGGCTGGATGGATGCGGACGGTGTGAAGACCTGGCTAGAAAACGCCGTCGAGCCCTTCATTCGCCCAAGATTTGGTTTGCGTGCGCGCTCTGCCCTACTGATTCTTGACTCCTACCGTGGTCACCTGACGCCTGAAGTGAAGGAATGCTATGGGAAACTTGCTGTCATCCCCGGAGTCATCCCCGAGGGCTGCACTTCCGTCGTGCAGCCCCTGGACGTATGCGTCAGCCGAGCTTTTAAGGCTCGAGTGAGGCAATACTACCAGGAGTGGTTTGACTCCGTGGGGATGTATTCCAAGACCGCTAAGGGTGAGTATCTTCTGGCTTGTTTTTAACCGTTTGTTTTCTGTAAACATGGTTCTAACTGAGTGGTTACTCATGTTTGCTGGCGCAGGAAACCTCAAGAAGCCTCCACCGGAGGAGATCCTGAAGTGGGTCTCCAAGGCGTGGAGAGCCATCCCTGCCGCCCTCATTCAGAGGGCTTTCAAAACGTGTGGCATCAGCAACTCGCTCGACGGCAGTGAAGACTATCTGACCCTCCAGCACATGCGCAACAAGCGAGAGGCAGAGGTGGATGTTGATGACGAGGTCGGGGCGGATGGCTTCTCTGGAGATAACTCGGTAGGCGCTGAGGGTGGGGCTGCAGAGGATGAGGAGGAGGACGAGGATGAGGAGAATGAGGATGAGGAGGATGAGGAAGGGGAGGAGGAGTAGGAGTAGACATTAGTACGGTAGGTGTAATGTGCGATAAGCAATGCTAGCCTGAAAGTGTTGTATATCCCAGGTTTAGGTTTGACTAGGATGACTTCTAACTGTCTATAAATTTATGTTCCTAGTGCATTCTGCCTATCTTGGCTAGTTCCTTAAAATGCTGTTTGAAAAGAGGGGGGGGGCGTATAGGGATTTGATCCGGAGCAGAGAGGGGGGGCGTATAATCGAATAATGCTTATAAGTCCCAATGCACGAGTTAGAGCCCATGGGACTAATCCTACGGAGGGGCGTCTATCCGGGTGATTACGGTGTATTAAATCCCAAGCAGGCCCCAAAATATCAGGGTGAAATGCCCTGATTATCCTGATTTTAAGGGTCATTTTTTGAACTTGTCTGATTTTTCAGGGTTTTAAAATTTTTAACCCTTATGTAGAAAGTGTTCCTTTTTTTTACCCTGGCTAAATCCGGGTGTGCGTGTGGCCAACCTTGATACGTCAGGGTGGCCCGGAAATTACCCTTAATGCAAAACAGTTAAGTGCTTTACGCGTGACGTTTTTCCTCGCGCACCATCAGCAAATGCCATCCACATTCCTGCCACCTGCGGCAGTTTGCCACCCTGACCCACCCGCGATGTCGAATATTCCCCTCCAGCTGTCCCTGTGTCAGCTTCTGTTAGGCCCGCTATTGGTCGTTGGCAGCGATATTGCCTTGGTCCCAGCCGACGAGAGTTCATTGCATGTGACGCATGAACCGCGCCCTCAGTGTTAGCCTTTCAGTTCCATGTAGAGATAACTGTACATGTTAACTGCAATATTAAAGTGTACACTTAAGTGTACTGCAATCAATGTGTGTGAAAAAATACCCTGAACAGACACAGTGCGAAAAATTTTAGGCTGCAGAATCAGACTCAAAAAAGAAGTCACCCTTTATGTCAGGGTGTTTTGCCAGGCAGACCCTGATTCCAAAGTGTGCTCTAAAACCAATTTTGGGCCCTGATCCCGAGTCTAAAATGGTTTGCTATCAAGATCAGGAATCCTGAACTTGTTTTCATCGAATAAAGGGTAACGTGGTATATACCGGAAAATCGTCACAACTCTCAGGGAACGGGGGGCAGCTTGCGACTTCCGCAGAATAAGACAAACCCCCAGTCACTGTTCATCTCAGTATTCTTGAGTTTTGCCTGCGACCATTCTGAACGCTTTATTGTGGGGATCTCGCGTCACTGTTTGTTCCTTCCACCCCCCCCCCCCCACCCCCCCCCTCCATTGTTCACGCACTGTTGAACTCGGTTGTTGCCGAAGAAATTCTGTGATGCGATCACGGTTCTGGATTTCGCCAGAATCTTCTTTCTTCAAGGGAACTCTGCCGAAATTACTTTCGCCCAGTTTTTTTGGCACTGTTTTCATGGCCCGGTTTTGCCGAGCCGCCCATCGCTAGCTGCCCGTAGCCCCGCGCCGCTGGCCCCGCAATCGTCAGCCCCGCGCCCGCTGGCCCAGGGCTCACTGGCCCCGCACCTGCTGGCCCCGCGCATGCCTGCCCTGCGCCCGCCAGCCCTGCGCTCGCTGGCCCTGTGCCTGCTGGCCTCGCGCTCACCTGCACCGCGTCGCTGGCCCCAGTTTCGCCCGCCCCGCGCCCGCTGGCCCCGCTTTCGCCAGCCCCACGCCCGCTGGCCCTGCATTCACCAGCCCCTCGCCGCCGGCCCCGTGTCCCGCTGGCCCCGATTTCACCCGTCCCACTCCTGCTAACCCTGCGCCCGTCAGCCCCGAGCCCGTCAGCGCCCGCCAGCCCTGCGCCTGCTGGCCCCGCACCCGCCAGCCCCGCGCCTGCTGCTCTCTCGTCGCCGCTCCGCCGGTCCCAGCCTGCCCCGGCCCTTCCTACTGCCGAGCCGCACTGACCCACCAGCCTTGGCTCCTTCTCTAAGCCGGCGCTCCCGCCGACCGGCTCCACCGCTCTCCACCGCACTCTACTACTCTCCACCGCACTCCACCGCTCTCCCCTGCACTCCACCGCACTCCACCACTCTCCACCACACTCCACCGCACTCCACCGCTCTCCACGCTCTCCACCGCTCTCCACCGCACTCCACCACTCCCACCTGCTCTCCGCCGCCCTCCTCCGCACTCCCTCCCCCCCTTATCAGCGGCAGTCAGCTGCTGCAGCGTTGGTGATGGCGGACCCTCTGCTCCGCCTGGACGCGGAGGGTCGGGCTGTTGAGTTTGAGGCGTGG